AAATTATCAGTTAACTACATTTAAAATAATTTGTACAGCATTTAATAAAACAATTTTAAAACAGAATAATTATATGAAGTAAAAAATTGTAATTTTGAAATTGAAGACAACTTGAAAAAGATCGGCTGTACTTTTGACGAGCTGAAAACCAAGTTAAACTAGAGAGCTTAGGAAAGTAGCTCAAGCAGCGCTTGTGAATAAAGAATTGCAGTATTTCACCACCTCTCTTGTTGATTGGCACCTTTACTGGGAATCAACTGGCGATCGGGGAGATCAAAGGCCGCGACCAACAAAGACGAGGAGGAAAAAACGTGCAGGCAAGAGAGTGCAATCGCTCTTTTTCCATCTAACGAGCGAAAAACATCAGAAAATAATAGTGTGGCAAGAATCGATGGTCTGTTGGCCGGGGAATTCAGTTCAAGCAGGGTTGATTCCAGCAGCTCCCTTTGTGAGGGACGAGCTTTTTCGCCCGCGCTCGCTCAGGGGTTGCATTTTACGAGATAGAGTGGAGAGCGAGAGAGCGAGCAAGAGTGAAACTGTGTCACACGGCGCAAATCCTCTCCATTCAATGGGACACTTGAGGCTCCGTCTGAATCACTGACTGGCTCACGACTCGCTCCTGATAATCTTTCGCTTTCCATTATTCGAATTACCAGGGAAAACCACCACTCTGTCCACTATAAACCCAAAACACATTTAAGCATTTAGCAATGAAGCAAAAAAAAAAATTTAAAATGGTGACACTCGGATCATTAATTTGGTAAGAAACAGAGGGAAAATTATAACTGGCTTCCAACCTATAACTTGGCCCTTAATTTTAATTTTTCATAAAAATGATTTACCCTTTTTTAGAGTAAAGTTCGTTGCTAGTAATCATGCCTTTTTGACCAATAATTCAATGTTAACCTCTGAATTATGTCTTTCAATGCTAATTTTTTTTCAACAATTCGGAAAAAGAAATTACAAAATTTTTTAATAAGATCACCTTTTAATCTTGCAACTTTAGAATACAAATCGTTCTTTTTCTCAACGATCAAAAGAGAATTAAACAATATTCTGATTCACAATTTCAACATTCGCAAGACAATAGAAAAAAAAAACATTTCCTTTGACCCTTAGTTTTTTAATTAATTGTAATATTTTGAAACTTCAAAAATGCAACAACCAGTAGTTTTCCTCATAGTGAATCATACATCATACTAAAGAGAAGTTTAGCTGATTGTTCAATTCTCCCTCACTTTTTTATTTCCAAAATTTTCTTTATCTTCCTTGCATCAAATTTGAGAAAATTCAATTGAGCCGTTTAAAAAGAGCAAGAAAAAGAAGTACATCAATTAATCTTACACAAATAAAATTGATTAATCAGATTATTTAAACTGGATGGGCTTCTGATAAAGTCAAATAAGGCAATTCATTGTTTGATTGTTTTTCATTGTTGCAATCAAAACTGCTCCTTTACAAAGGGTCAAAAAGATCAATTAAGCCCCTATTTACTCTTCGCCAAAATTTTATTCTTTAAGAAACTTGAATTTAAAAAAAAAAAATTGGTTATTTTTATAGCAGTAAAACCACATTTGGTCGTTTCAAAAATAAACTCTATAATCTCAGTTTTTAAATTATCAATGAAAAATAAATCAAATAGTTAATTTAATCCAATGCTTTTTACACATATTTTTGAATAATCACTGGAAGTAACAAATAAATAATGCTTTATTTAATTAAACTAAAATTCGAATCTTTCTAACTGATTGAGAGTTTGTTCAAAACAGAAAATAATTGAAATTTGAAAATTTTTCTTAATAAAAATTGGAGTCCAAAAATGGTTTAAAAAAAAGTTCCTCTTTAAGGTTCCCTTTTAGGCGAGCCAATCAATACTGAAAATCCGTCATAAGACCTCTCGCCCACAGGTCTGTCACTTTATATTCCTGCAGAAATTATTGCTCCTCCGTCGGAACCCGAGCTCCGTAGGGATTAAAGTGCGGAAAGGTCGGCCGCGCTGGAATGAATGAGTGGCGGACTTCCCTGGGCTGCCGGGGATGAATCAGAAATCATCGGGCTGTCGCCACTTTGGGCGCGGGCGTAATTATCGCCCGGCTGTATCGCATTTGCATTATTCGCGAGACAATGGGTGCAGATTTTCGGCTGCGCCAGAGTGGATTTAATCAGCGCCGGCAAGAGCGAGCGAGCTCATCTAATCAAGTTGATGCCGTGAAAAGGGGATTAACAGATTACACGCCGAGCCTGCAGCCTCGCGCAGTTTTTGAATCACACCAACCCCTGCTTTCGCGATGAGAATCCCCGCCGTTTCCCTCGCTCATCCATCACCAGCCTGCGAAAAACGTGCTTTTTAATTTCGGCGCTCTGTTGCTGCCTCAAAGTACATGGTCATGCACATTCGGCTTGATTAAAATCATCCAGGCCGCCATTCATGGCGCTCAAATTTTGCCAGTTGATTGCAATATTTTGCATCGTTTATTTTTGGTCAATTTTTTTGTAAATATAAATATTTCTAATTTTGACAGCTTTGATTCATTGAGAATGTACTCATTTATCTAAAAGCTTTTTACATATCAGCCACTAAATTTTGTACTACCTAATCAAATGTAATGGATCATGCGAGGATTAAAGTAATTGTAGGAAGATAAAATTGCAGTAAGATAACATAATTAAATTCAAGAGATATTCAAATTTTGGCATGCGTTCAATTAATATTATGGAACATTACGAAAAGCTCTTTTTTTTCTGTTGAAAAATTTAATTAAATTATGTTATATTTTTACGGAGTTTTAAGGTATTTTATGAGCCACATTCTTTTCTGAAATGCTTTGAATTCATTTCAAATTGAAAAAATAGCATATTGAGTCTAATAAGTTTTTGTTCTTGCCAAAATTCAAATTGTAAGTTGAAAATTATAAATTAAAAACAGTTAAATTTATACACATGTTTCATTTTTACTTTCAGTTTATCTAGCACATAAAAGGACATTGAAACCATCGATCGATATATTTTAGGTTCAAGATATGTTTATTGGGTTCGAATTTAGGGCAACTATGCCCCATACATGAACTCATCCAAATAAATAAATTTTAGGATGCAAAACAAAATCAAATTTACTCTCAGAATTTTTATTTCGAATTTTTGAGTAAAATATGTCTCTGTGGCAGTTTTTAAATTTATTATGACCAGGATTGCTGGCAAATTTTTAAGCTCATATGAATGTCAGGATTTTAAATAATTAAATGGTTTTCAAAAATTATAAAACGAGTAAAAGTTTTACATGATTTTCTATCATAGCACAATTATTTGTTGACACCAAGTTGAAATCATTTGCCATTCCCGGTTTTTCCTTTCTCTTGATAAAATAAACAATCATTAAGGATTATTAATTATATTTTTCTCATATCTTTCAAGCAAAAAGAAATTTTTAGCAATTAAACGCTCTCATTATTTAAAAAATCAATCGTGTCATCTTTCTTTCCTGAAATCCGAATAGGAGTTAAAATTAAAATCAGATCTGATTTTATAGCCAGACAAATGAATGAAATGCTTTGCTTAGTTGGCTATATTCGCTGGTATATCAGATTTCAAAAGCATCACGATAATAAAGCTTATCCGTTTATTAAAGTGGAGTAGCATGTTGCACAAAGTCATAATATATGAAACAAAATTCATCGCACTTGTAATTTAATCTGCTCGCTGCGTCTCAAGAAGACGTTGATGCGGGCTCATGAATAATTCATTTGACACGCCTTTTCACATTATAGCCTTGATTTTAAAATACTTTGTTGCCTCGAAAACGACCAATCAAAATCAAATTTGTACGTCATAGAGAGAATTCCACGAACGCGCCATATACTATCTTCAATTTATCTCTCCATTCACGTTTTTCTTTTTTTTTTATTCCGGTCATAAATCAAACATCAGGATGCTGCACACAAACAAATGTTGAGAGTGCGTGTTGGCCTAGAGATTTTGTGCCGCAGATAGTTACTCTTTATGTACTCGCGGAGTGCTGCTTGATAAACTCGCCGCGCGCACTTATCACGCAAAATTACACAAACAAAAAGTAGCAGAGAGACGAGAGCCGAGTGAGTGCACTCAAAAGCGGTGTGTGAGCGACTGTCTTTTTTCACGTCCTCCAAGATCATCATTGAGAGTGAGAGTTTTAACCCGTTCGAGCGAGATGCAAGCAGAGCGAACGAGTTTCCTCCACAAGGGAATTGCGCAACGTGATTGATTGGCTCCGTAATTCAAGGTTGACACATAAAATCTAATGTAAAATGATTGAAGCGTTGATTATCAACATAATAAATAAAATTAAGTGATCGTTACTATTTTATGTGAAAAGTTATTCCCATCTGATTTTCATAAAGACTTTGGTATTAAAAGTGCAATAAAAATTTTAAATGATCTCAAAACCCTTTGAAAAATGAAAATAATTAAATGTGGGGAAATTAATATTAAGATCAAAATTGACCAAGCTATTAATTTTCAAATTTTTCCCTCATGTGGGTAACGAATGCCGTTTTCGTAATCTTAAAATAAGTGTCTACAAAGCGTTTTAATCGTTATGCAAAGTTCTATCAGGACCTCATCTTTGGAATTGTGATCTTCTGAAAGTTGTCACGACCTGCAATTTTATGAAATGGAACCTCTCGAGATAATATCAGTTCTTATATTAATGAATAAATAAAGATATTTTATTCCTTAAAATCCAATTGGATTTATTTATTAGGCAACAAGGTCATTTAACTGCACCCGTTTTTATGTTTATGCAAGTCATAAAATGAGCTTTTATAGTTCTAGAAATCTCCAAAAGCGCTTTCCCCGTTACAAATTTCAAAATTGATTTTACGCGTTTTTTATGCAAATTTTCTAGCTCATTTTACGCTCGAGATGCGTCTTGTTTGTTGACCTTCGGTCGGCATGGGCTTGGTAAAAACAGCAATTAACTGCAGCCGGCCGCCAGCGATGATTTCGAACAGTGAGCAGAGAGAACGAGAGTGCGAGAGAGCAATTATCACCTGCGAGTTGCAAAAAAACACTGCGAGCGCTGCCTGCAGCCGTGGGCGCCGTGCAGATAAGATGGAAAAAAGGGACACACTGAGTGGACGCAACAGTGGCAATGAGGTGATGTGATTTCCGAGAGCGAGGTGCAAAAATGATTTTTTCAAGTAAGTCTTTAAAGTTCTTATTTAATTTAATATTTTTTATAAGTTACATTGTTTCAAGACTTTGATAAGATTCCATCATTTGGGTCTTTGAAGCATAAAATTTCAGCCCTATTTTCAATTCCAATTAAATTCTTCGGTGAACTTCCATAAATATTTTTCTTTTCTCATTTATAAAATATATAAGTTTTTTTAAGTTAAAGATGTCACCAAATTTGAATTTTTTTCAAAATAGGAAGATGTGAAAATACTCACAGAAGTTGCTGAGATGGTCCGGCGTTGTCTTCATCCTTGTCGTCGGTGCTCAGGTTGTCCCTGGCCGAGTCCATCCTGATGAGCTCCAGGTCTCGCAGGTACTGTTGCAAATCCAGCTGGAGCGTGGGGGCGGCACTCAGGAGACTGCGAGGCGTCTCCGGTGCCAGCTGACAACGATCAGAGGGAAGGCTGGTCAGCGCTCGGAGCAACGGCGGCGTTCGTTCGTTCGTTCGCGACCATGAATGCCTCTCTCGCGCGCGCACCCGCCTGCCAACCACACCACCTACCTTTGCAGTCGCGCGTGTGCGCCCAGCCGACCGCCTCCGCTGCCGCCTCCGGCCGCGGCCCGCGGGAACTGCCATTGTTTTCACGTCGATCTCACTTTTTTTTTTACCACCGCCGAGACCTGCGAAAAGCGCGTAATGGTTATTGCAGCAAGGAAAAATTTGGATTTTTTTGAAAAATTGGGAAGAGGGTGCGTCATTATTGGATTTTTTTGTACAAGGGCTTGCAAAATAATGTGAAGTAAGTCAAGGAATTTTTTTTAGATATCGGATAATTGAAATGTTTGCAAAAGTGTGAAATTGGAAAATTGATCATTATTCAGGAGGATGTTAATTACTGGGCTCATATTGTGGTTGATTCTGGGACAATAGGTTGATATTAAAAAATATACATGTTTTTTTGAAGTAAATAATAATAAACAGAAGACCCAAATTATCATTTGAAGTTAAAAATTGATGTATTAAAAATTCTTTGACCCATCTGTATAATTTTTATAACAAGCGAGACGCAAAAATTACATATAATTATTCCGCTTCTTTTAATTTTACTCTATTGATTTTTTTACTGCAAACTGCCAAAGAAAATAATACTAGATATCCCAAATTCTATGAGTAAATTTGTTAATATTTCAGCTGAGAAAAGGAGGCCCTAACTGAAAAAGCAATAATTTATTTGCCAACATTAGAAACACGACACTTACATTAAATCAATTGAACAGCTGGATATTTGAATTCTGCTCGTCTATTTTATTTGCATAATAATAAAACTTTTTTTAAAGTATGTAATATTCTCCCATTATTAGCGACTGGTGCTGCTGAATGGAGGAAGGAATGCAAAAGGAATGTGGTTGGCAGGCAACTGTCGATATCAGCGCAGAAAAAAACAATCAAAACGAATTCCACTCCTGTTGCATCGTTTCATGAAGCCTCGTCATCCTCTTCTGCCACCAGAGTATGTAAATATATTTAACTTAACTGATATGTGTATACTTAACTGACTCCATTCTTATGATTAGGTTCCACAGAAGAGCACAAATAACGTGGAAAAAGGAGCTTTGCCGGTTTAAATCTCATTGAAAAATATAAAAATATTTCTGCAGTGTTCCATCAAAGTATGATACAGACAACAGCGACTGATGCCTCGTTTATCAAGATGTTCTGTTTTAGTTTTGAAGCTGGATTTCATCATATATCGATGCTTCCTTAGCCGTCTCCGCAAAATGAAGACATGAAGAGTCATACTTTTTTTACTTCAAAGGTAAGAAAACATCTTTTTTAATCAATATTTTTATCAAAAAAATAAAATTTTAAATAAAAACATTGCAATTATATCTATTGCAAAAAGGAGTTGCGGAAAAAATAAAATCTGGATGTCAGACATATTGAAAAAAAAATGATTTAAATAACAATATTAAATTATTTCTGCAATTTTGACTGCAACTGCAGCACAACAAAACAACAAAAATATTTTTTAAACTGCTTATTCTTTTTTTTATTTATGCTAGAAATTTTATTAATATTATTATTATTAACAAGGATTATTTTTGCGTCCGAATTTTTAATTGCGCTGACGCGATTTAAATTGACTATTTTTGGAAAAGAACTATTTTACTAAAGCCTTAATGTTATCTGATAAAATTTAAAAAAAATATATCAATTTATTGAATCTGAAAAAAAAATTAACTTGATGATATTTTCCAACTTATCAGTTCATTCAAAGTTTCTAATCGTCATGAAATTATTAAGCTGCATTTTGAAAGGGTCCGAGTTGTGGCACAACTGGAGGGGAGCGAAATTTTCCAGTCGAGTTTCTGAGCCACGATTTGGGCTCTGCCAAAGAATGGACGAGACGCCCCGGGGTGTATAATTTTGCAACGAGCAAATAAGTGTGTTCGCCGGGATGGTTTGTATGTGTGCGTGTAGGGGACGAGCAGCGAACGGGGGCTGCCAAAGCGAACAAACCACCCTGGCAAATAAATCTCGGGGAGCTTATCAGTTTCGCTTGAGTTGGTGCGCAGCATCATTACTCCTTGCAGCGCGCGCGAACCCGATTTTTATACACCTATATATAATATAGCCCTTTTTCTCTTGGGGCGTAATTTCGCCAGCGTGATAAACCAGCCGTCTTCGCCGTTTTTCTGCGGATTTTTCCCTCATCATTGCCGCGCCGGATTTCTTTTCCCTGTGTGACACACTTCCCGCCGTCGCCGAGTGGCTTTATTAAATTTCGCACACCAGAAAAACTGTTTCTCGTTGTCGCTCCTGGCGTGTTTTCCAAGCGTATTTATTGCCATGGAAAAATGCAATCTTTTGAATAAGTCGAGTGGAAAAAGCAGTGAAATATTTACATATAAATCTACCTGGAGAGGATTTGTAATAACGTTTTGAAAGTACTTAAATTTTCTTCAAAATAATAAGTTTGCTGAAAAACGACAAAAGAAGAGTGAATTAAATGTTAATATTAACATTAACATTAACATTTTTAGATATCCAAATGATTTTTTTCAAGAACTGAAATTTTACTCTAATATTGTTACTTCTTCACAGATTTAAATTCTAATTTTTAAAAAAATTTTGGTTTTTTAAAAGAAATTTAGTTTGGGACATTTTTAACAAATATCTCAACATATTTGAACCTAAAAAATAGCCCTTTTCCCCTTACCCAAAATATAACCAGATTTTATCAAACAAGGTCAAACTGGAAATTCTTATGATAAGACAAATTTTACAACAATAAGGTTAGCTAGTAAAAAAGGGGGAAAATCGGTAAAATTTTATGATAGTAAAACTAAAATGTTTTATTATTTTACACTTGCAAACAATATAAAATGCTTTTTTATTGAACAGAGAATTCCACATTAATAATTTGAATAGGATTATCCTAAGGGCCGAATTCTCTCCAATAAGTACGTTTCTCTTACTCTAAATGAATAACTTAACTCTTTTTTTAATCATAAAATCCCCCATGTCCCATGTAAAACAAGCTCTATCAAATATGATCTCTTTTGTTTGAACTCAAAGTCCTCCAAAAAGTAAGCCTTTAAATTTTATTTAAAAATGAAAATTAAAATGATAAAAAGCTTGGGGTAATTTATTGCATTTCAAAGTTATATACATGCACTCCTCACAGATTAAAAACTTTTTTTGCATTCCAAATGCCTGTTTTGAGGTCTCAAACTCAAAATTTTGCGTGTCCTTTTGGCCTTATTCATGTATCAGATATGTAACATATCCCCTGTAAATTACAGGCTGTAATATCATGCTTTTATTGAAAAAAAAATAATAAGATAATTAATTTAAAGATCTGCAATTAATTCTATTGAATTTTTCAATAGAAATGCGCAATAAATATGAAAACAAAAAGATGTGTACATATCCCCAACGATTGGTTGAATTTTGATTTTAAAAAGTTTAATTGTTTTTCAATGCCGTATCTATTTGTGTGACGTGGGTCTCATTTTTTATTTCAATTTTGGCTTAAAATACTTTGTAATAAAAGAGGTCAAATTGATTTAAGAGAATATTTTAGCTTAGAATTGTTACGTGAATTTAATCTTATTAAATTAATCTACTTTATATAGCAACTAAAAGTTTAAGTGGCAATAAATGTGGTCATTGTTCTTGAATTTCTTCAAGAGAATTCATTGTCAACCAGAAAAGTTTTAAGCGGATTTGCACGCAACTGGAGGATGGAAGATAAAGGAAAATAGAATTAGCCTCGGTTTAACTCGCATATTCTGCTGCTTTATTCGATTCCATTTCCGAGTGCAATCTTTTTATTTTAGCATTGCCGGCAAAAATGTAGAGCCAAGTTTGCTACCGCCGATGTGACACTGAATAAGTAGAAGAACTGCTTTTTATATACGGAAAAGAGAAAGAGCGCCTCTTGAATACGTAATTCTCGATGCACTCTTTTCGCCCTTTTTGTGACGAGCGAGAGAGAGAGAGAGAGAAAAAGAGGAAAGCGTTTTAGAGCGTTTCGGAAAATTACAAACTTTGCTGTTCGCAACTCATTTGCATGAGAAAACTGCTGCTGCTCTCGGGGTATATAACTTTTTTCGAGTTTGTCTTGGCGGAATAAATCAGATTCGGCGGCTGTTGGGAGGACGGCGGCGAGCGGGTCACTTTTCCAGCTCCACGGCCACAGGCACGTTCTCCAGCTCGCGCTTGCTCAAGTGGTTCACCAGCCCCGCGCCCAGCGAGTCGCCCAGAACGTTGATCATCGTTCGGAAACGGTCCCTGAAAAGAATCAATCGGAATAACTTACGTTTCACAAAGAAGACAAATATATAAGTATTTTGAGAAAAATGAGTGATTTTTTTAAATTTAAGTTTCTATTTTGGTCATTCAGTCCATTTTGATGATTTTATTTTTGAATTTAGATGGAAATGCATGTTTTTAAGAAGAACAAAAATACAAACTTTCACAAAGGACCGTTTTTGATAAAAAAAAAAAAAAAAAAAAAAAAATATCCGAAGATGAAAATCTAAATTAACGGGGCCAATTAAGTTTTTAACATTCTACCAGGGTTATGTTTCCTGCCTTATTAAAAATGATTTATTTTTAACTTACAAAAGCCAGTCTCCGGCCAGGATGAGGGTGACATCCTCTGCTGGCAGGCCGACGGTGTCCAGCACCATCACCATGGTGACCAAGCCGGCCTGCGGAATGCCGGCTGCTCCGATGCTCGCGGCCGTTGCTGTGATACTGCCAAAAAAAAGATGCAAATCAGAGCCGCTTCCTTTTCCTTTCCAGCTTGCAGATCAATGGACCTTTCACTTTTTTCTTTCGCGGAAAAAATCAATGTGCGTTTGATTGGCGGCGGAACGGCCGACCGGAAAATAGATAGGCTATTATCGGTGTTCTGCTGACCGTGTCCGATTCTGCGATTGACTGGCGCGAGTCGATCAAACGAGAGCTCTTTGATTAAATCGTGGAACGTGCAGTGAATGCCTTTGTGATATACCCGGGCTTTCAATCCTAATTGGACTTTTTACTTCATTAAAAAGATTAAAAAAACACTAGTTTTGAATGAGCCAAACGGATTAAATTTCTCCTTGAATGTAAAAGAGAATTTGAAAAGCATTTAATTTAAATAATTAAAGTTATCAAAGGGTTGAGAGTATTTGATTAAAGACGAACTTTTTTAACTTTTTGTGTTAAAAAACCAAGCGTATAGCACTAATAAAGTTGTGTTTACAGTGCTTCGTATAAAAATTCTAGATTCAAAACATCACAGCATTTTCTTCACTTTTTGAGTTTTTCAATAGATTGAGCTCCTTTCAAATTTATCTGTTAAAAAATTTTATAGTTGCAAAATCTAATAAACAAATTTGTGTATTTTGTAAAACATTCATTCATTGCCCATCAAAAATCAACTTTTTTCATCCCAACCTTTGTTCACTTTGATATTGAACGTCTGATCAAATTTATTAAAATTTAGACCTCAATTAAATGAACGTGATTTTTACATTTGACATTCTTACCTGACTGCAATGATGTTTCCAAGTGACAAAGGCACGTTTCGTACTTGGGAAATGAAAATAGCGGCTACGGCTTCATACAGGGCGGTGCCGTCCATGTTGATGGTGGCCCCAATGGGCATCACAAATCGGGCCACGCGGGGATCAATGCCGTTTTTCTCTTCTAAGGCTGCAATTGCCACTGGTAAAGTCGCAGAACTAAAATAAAAAATTATTTACAATTGATATATTCAAAAATAATTTTCAATAGTAAAATTAATCCTTTCAATATCAACAATTTAATTTTAAATAGTTTTAAATTAACATATTATTTTCAACACTTTCTGCTCATTTTTCAAGTTTCTTAATTTTTTGTGCAATTAATTGAGTAAAATAAACAATAGACAATTTGTTTAATCAATACTTTTCTTTTAGAACAATTTGTGAAACTTTTTATATTAATCACACCTTGAAGCCGTACTGAATGCAGTGGCCAAAGTTTGCGCCATATTTCCGATAAATCTGAAGGGCAGCGTTCGAGTGAAGACGACGTAGATGATCGGCAGAACTACGAAGCCGTGGAAGAAAATTCCAATCATGACGGTCAGATAGTACATGCCCAGTTGGCCGACGATAACGCCAAAGCTGTCCATCTCCAAAATCTTGGCCGCAATTAAAAACATGACGCCAACGGGTGAAAACCTTGGCAGCAAAAATATTCAAATATTCATATTATACAAGTAATTTTTTTGAAAATTACCAAATAACCCAGCCAGTGATGATCATCATTGCCTGGCTGACGCAAGTGAAGAAAGCCAACAGAGGTGCTCCTTTGTGTCCCATTTTGCCCAAAGTCATGCCCATGACAGTGGAGAACACAACCAGACCCATAATGTTGGTGCCCTGAGCGTATTCATGCGAAATTTCCCAGTCAAGCAAACTGGCTGGTGCTGGTAAAAGGCAAATTTAATTAATATCAAATAATTAATATGTCTACGGAAAGTTGCAAAATTAAATTGATTAAAAAACTTTTAATTTATGTATGGGTCAGATAATTATTTAAATTAAATTGTTAAATGAGTAGAATTTAAATATAAATAAGCCATATTAATTTTTCCATCAAAAATTTATAAACAAATTTAAAAATATTTTATTAGAAAAAAAAAATAAAACAGAAAAATATTTGGTTCTAAAATAATTTGACTTGGAAAAACAATCAATAAAATTAAATTCTTTGTTCTAGTAAGTTTCAATAAAAGTTATTAAACCCAGGATATTTTATTATTTAAATTTTTTTTTTTTTTAAACTTACGAGGATTTGTGGGATCAATTGCCGATCCATCTTCATTTACTATAGCCAACAGTGATGATTCATTAATTATAGGTGCCGGCGGAATCTCTGGGGCTTTGAGAACAGTACGATACTATCAATCAAAGGCTAATTAGATACAAAATTTATTTAGATGTAAATAATTTTTCTTACGTGGAAAATGCAAGCCTGGACAATGTTGGGTGGGAACATCTTCCTGAAATTTATATCAGTCTGATTGAAATTTTATTTTAATGTATACTTTTCATTGTAAAATACATAACAAATCATATTTGAAAAAAGGGTAGGATTCAAATTTTTAATAGAAAAAAGCCACCTAATTATAAATCTTCTTTGATGTCAATCAATTATTAATTTATTTCATAATTAATTTATTATAATTAAAAATGTCTAAACTTTCCATTTTAGCACTTTTTATGCTTTTAACTTGAACAACTTTGTAAACACAAATATTATTATCCCTTTGCTCTCATGATAAACCGTCAAACATTAATTCCGTTTCATCCGCTTGCCACCGTTTTTTGCTCATTAATGAAATGCAAAGCGGCTCTGAACCAGAGGTGGCGTCAGTCGACGAAAAGCGTCAACTATTATAACATGTATATGTTTTAATATAACAATCGGGCGGCGGCATCTGTTTCTATTCCCAGAGGACGGAATGAATAATTTGTGCTGATGTGGAAAGATGCACTTGTTGCTCGCGCGGCCTCTGCCAACTATGACAGAACACTCGCTCGCGAAACTCGACTCCCACGTTCATTTGCGACCAACACACAAACTAGACCAAGTGGAGCAAAAAATATATGTATTAATGAAAAGGGGTACGAAGGCTCCAATTTCAACTTGTTGGCAACGCTCGCAAAGTGACGAATCCCACGCCTCTGCGGATTTAGCCCGGAAGTTGAGCAACTTAAAGAATTGCAAAGTGGAACTTCTTTATTTTATTTAACAAAATGACAAATAATTACTAAATTAAGACTCTACATGACTTCAGTAATTTTTCAATTGCTTCAAAAGCAAAGACATGTGAAAAAATAATTACAAATTTAAATTTTATTTTAAAAAAAATATGGCAGAATATTTGAAATTATTAATAAATATGAAGTAAAATTTTAAATGAACTTATAAAATTTAATATATTTTGAAACATTTTAAAATAAAAAACCATAAAATATAATAAAATTAAAAAAAAAATAAAAAAAAAGATTATGTAATAAAAATAAAATTAACATGATATATATAAACTTAATTTAAAAAAAAATAATAATAAATTTTTTGTTACATAAATTGCTCCTGCGTTGGTTAAAAAACCTATTTCAACCCCATTAAAATAAATCCGTAGCAAAAATTATATCTTTTTCCCCCAATTTTCTCACCTGATCAAATCCATCAGGGTATCGACTGTTGTTCCATTGTAAGACGTTCCAGCCCTGGCGATGGACGTGGAGTCTCCTGTGCCAGGGTGGATGGTGAGCACCAAGAAGATTCCGAGCACCACTGCGCACACGGTCGTCGTCATGTAGTAAGTGACGGCCCTGGCGCCGATTCGACCCGACAAACTCAGGTCGAGCGAGCCGATAGCGGAAATCAGGGAAGCCACGATCAGCGGCAGGATCAGAGACTTTAGCATCCGCAGAAACAACTCGCCGATGAAGTTGACGTACATGATTTCACGCGGCGTCCATTTCTCTTCCCTTGAATAAGTTTATTTTTGAAGGGAGGGAATTAATTAAATTAAATTTGTATACCTTGAGGCGCGAAGACTGATTCCCAAAACGACGCCGCCGAAAACGCCTAAGATTGTGAAAATAGTCAGTGCGTTGCTCTTCAACGCCTTTACGACGCTTTCTCGGGTTGGTGTCCCCATTTTGGAAAATTCCTGAAAAATTCAAGTTAGTTCAATGAACACAAATTTTTATGCGCAGGTATCTGTGAACAGTTTATTTTTATATTTGAGAAAGACCAAAATTGCTTGTGAAGGAACATTCTATCTTTTATCAACATTTTGAGAAATTATTGCACCAAATTAAAATTAAATCCATTTTCATTTTCAGTGGTGATTTTGCCAAATTTTACAAATTTATTTTGAATAAAAAATTTTTTACTGGCATTCAAAATATTACCAATTATCCATTAAAAGTTATGCATCTTAAAGTCTAAAATAAAATAAAGTTACATATTTATTTCGCTGAAAAAGAAATAAAAACATAAAATCTCAAGTTACTCCTTATTAAATTTTTTTTAAACAGTTTCAAACTCTGGAGGGAAAAACTTTATTACTTTCTAATGTTTCCGTTTTTTTCTATTTCTAAAACATAATAAATTTAATTTAACATTATGAAAAAATTTCTTAAAACTAAAACATTGAGTTGAAATTTCATAGATTTTAGAACCGTCTAATAATAATTCTGACGTTTATGCTGTAACTCTCGTAGCTTATCAAATCGGCACACATTTTCTCCGAAGTCTCTCAATTCCACATAATCCCACTTGTTGGCAACAAAATCCCTCTCTTTGAAACACGTGAATCAAATAAATTTTCTGCAGCTGCCGCCACTAAATCGACGCTGACCTGGATTTTGCTTTTCGGGAATTGTGGATTTTCGCGCCTGCCGAGAGCGCCGCCGCGCCGGGTTAATTTTGCCTTTTGGCAGCGGGGGCTAAGCAAGTTATTCCCGCGCGCGCGGGGTGAAAGGCTAACGAAAATTTACACACTCTGCTAGCTGGGACAATGCCAGTTGTGTTGACGACCCGCCGCCGCCACGGTTCGCACATAAATAATACTCCGTTTTGTCTGGGGGGTCGTTTCCCAAAATTCCGCACCGTCACTCGGCCGCGACGAATCTGTGTCAGTCTGCCTGGCTCGTGCGCGCCCCAAGTGAATAAACTTTGCAAAAAATCAACAACTTGATTATGTGCTCATTTGCACTGACAGAGATACACAAACACTTCAGATCTGACAATGAATGGACTTTTTATTTCGTGAATTGTTGCAAATATTCGTGTAAATATTTTTTGCATTTTTCTTTTGTAATCCATTTTAGAATGAAATGCAATTCTTAAATTTAGAATTTTGCCAAAGTTAATTAACGCAACTTCAAATAAATTCCGTGGTGTTTCAATTGATATACTCGGCTTTTCCTCAATGTGTTATTTAAGTTTTTTACGAAGCAATAAAGGACTCAAATAATTCATCGAGTTAAAGTAGATTTTCAATCTCAACACCATAAATCAACCCTTGGTAAAGAATTTCTTTAAAAAAATTAAAATAAACTTGTGAAAAGCAGACATATTTTTTTCTAAATCAAACCTTCCAAAATTTTCAATTTTTAAAACACACCATTATTATTTCAAAGAATAAAGGTCCGTTGCTTTAATTCAACATGATGAGCACCAGATGAATTAAAACCTCAACTGAAATTTTTTCAACTAACATGAACTTATACATATTTTAACATAATAGAGAATAATTTCAACCGGATATTGGTGGCGAGTGCACTTATAACTTATAATTGCCTGAAAATTATAGATAGTTTTCAGAGATAAAAATTATTCCAGTTTCTTACTAATATCAATAAAAATCCAGAGGCTAATCGCTAGCAAATTTCAAGATTAGTTAGTTTTTGTCATCAAAAAGCTTTCCAATTTTAACAAAAGTGATAACCATGCAAACGTTAATTTTATCAATTTTTATAATTAAATTTTGTCTTTAACCCTTTACTGCCAAACTGAAAAAATATTAAAAGAAATTGTAAACTATAGAAATTCTCAAAAGTATTTTTTTTTCCAAAATCCTTGCATTGGCCGCGTTTCGTAGTTAAGAAAAATTAGTGATTGTATAAGAAATAAGGGCGCATATAGATCAAATCTATTCTCAGGATATTTTGAGCCATGGTCAACGAGCTCACGTTTTGCAGCTATTTAAAATGGTCCTTAATTTCGTCTTTCCACTCCTCTCTAGGGTCTCCTCTCAGCCTCTCTTATTATAAAATACGCCATGTTCTTTAAAAAACCAAAACTCCAAATAAAAATTGCTAAAAACTAGATTTTTTTAAATAACTAAAATTAAATCAGCCTAAGGGTCATTCACAAAATATCACTTAGAAATTGATTTGGTTAGCGTTTTAGGCCGTTGATTGAGGCAAAATTTGCTTAAATAGGTGAAATAAACTTTTGAAATTCAAAATGTCAATTTCGGCAAGCTCATGAAAAAATGAGTAATCATAGTCTAGAAAAATATGCAAAAATAAAATAAAATCGGGATTTTTTTTAATAAAGTCATTTTATTATGCTAAATTTCAACGTCAAAATGATTAATTTGTACTGCACTGAGCATTTTAGCTCTTCAGTGACAATTAGAAGATCACCTTTTTCCCCCATCGCGAGCTAAAAGTCCAATTTTTATTGCATCAACTTAAAAGGCTCCATTTCTTCTTCTCTGTTCAATCAAGAGAATTGCTCTCTTATTCTCTGCAATAATAATAAGATCAACCGCTTGACCCCGGCGTTGCTTTTTTACGCCAGAGAAAGATGCCCTTTGCACCGGGGCCAACAAAGTGCTCACTTAATTGAAGATAAACCGATTAAACCGGAATTCGCAGCTCGGACCAGTAAATTCGACTGCCCTGCTTTTCATATGATTAAGATCGAGCAGAAAAAATCCTCGACAAACGCATGTGATACAGATTGAGCAATCGCTATATAAGTCGCTTGAGAGGCCCATTAAGAAAGAATATTATTATTATTGCACACACACAAGTGACATCATCATTTTTTTTCACTGCATATTTTAAGCCCGAAGCGTTGAGATGAACACACAGAGGCACTTCTTTGTGCAGATGGAATTTTTCAACTGACGCGTCCGCCCCATAAACGAAAACCAGAGTCATTCATGTTTGTCCCCCTCTTTACTATGCGCCGACTCTATTGTTTCAAAAGTTGCAAAACTAATTAAAAAAATTCAGCAGTACAAAATAAATGGAAATAACTTAAATTTTAGTGACTGACAAGCCTCTTCGTTGAAATTTTTTATTTTGAAACAATTATAATTTCGTTATAACTAATTAAATTATCAAATTTACTAATTGGCCATCTTATTAATTTATTCTCTACAAATAAAACTAGGAGCTTTTTATAAATTGGTAGATCTTGCTAAAAAAAAAAATTTAAAAGTTTTACTTTTTTAATATTAAAATATTTTGAACAATTTTTTCAAACAGAATGAAAACGTTGTTAATCTCCACATGTGTAATTGTGCTTACCCTTTGGTACTCGCAAATTAACCGTGTCTGGTTGCGGACCCTTGCTTGCACGAGGAGACTGCGAATTAGCAGTTGCCCGTCAAAACACAATAAGCAGCCGCTGCTCTCTCCGCCGATCGCCTAGCTCTGACCACTAACTAAGCAAATGAATGCATCGCGCGCTCCGAGATCAAAATACCACCCACCACCACTGGCAGCAGCCGCCGCAGCGCCGATCTGAAGCCTCGCCAAATCCAATTCATCCATCAGTCGTTTTATATTGGGTCATCGTCATTCAACAGACGCAAATGACCGTTTCGGCGCGATTTTTCATCAACATCCGAACGATTAAAAAATATAGGACTGCTATAAATTTTGTATAAAAAAAGTGTGAAAATTTGAGATTAAATTTTGAGCTCTCATCTCAAATAAAAAAAAAACTAAAAAATTTTATCAATGGAGTTAAATATTGCTGGCAATTTCAAAAATTAAAATTTTAGCCTGAAAACTAAAAATTTATATTCAAAATGCATTTCATATACATTTCAAAATATATTTTTTTTATATAATATATATATCATTAATCAAGCAAGAAATCATTCAATTGAAATATTTATTTTAAAAAAATTATACGATTAAAATAAGCAAAACTTGTATTTTTCTGCTGGGCATTTGAAACGCGGTCCATTGAGAAACAATGATGCATAAATACCGGAAATGCGTTTCAATATTAATTTTCGATACTTCCTATGGCAAGATTGCGCAATGCATGTAGATTTAATTCAAATTTAGAAAAATATTTGTAGGAAATCCTGATGTTTCAAACGTAATTATTTACTGTCCTATTAGTTTGTTTACTGGATATTATAAATATATGCCAAATTTCTCCTTAATAATAAACATAAAATCCAAATGTACAGACCCACTCAGTTTCACATTTATTTTATATGATGCTAAATAAAAATAACAAATGACTGACTCTCAGATTTAAATTTAAAATCAAGCAACCAATATATTTATGTTAATTTCAACTATCAATAAGTGAATTTTGATTACCATGAAAACTAAGAAGAAAAATTTGTTATTTTACAATTAAATATATCAGAATTTAAAAATATTAAGTGTACAATCAATTTTTCTATTTTTCATTCTTGGGAAAAATTCCAATGGTCTAGCAAATAATTTTGTCTTACAATGCTAGTGCAATTTGCAGGTAAATTTTCCTTCTCCTGTATGCATATTATTGATGTTTGCTTGCTCAAGAACAATGTTTCCGGAATCACAGCGTAAAGATTCGGTTCCGGTTCCGCTTTTGAAATTACAAAATGCGGCAATGATTTGTCTCCGAGTATCGAAACCGGAACGGCCGGCGAACCAGGAACGCACCAGCGAGTTGTTCCGTTCTCGTCTTCAAAAGTTTCTTCCCATAATATTGATATTCTCGTTCCTATAGGTAAATTATTCTCAGCAAAATACACTATCATTAATATAAAAATCTAAACTTACCGTTCAATGAGTAAAAGAGTTCTTTAAACTCTTCTATTGAATCAGCAAACGGAAAATGGCCTAAATGGGTTTTATGACATCGGCTGTACGGACAATACACTAAATCGGTCAGCTGAAATTAAAAAATTTATTAATTAAAAATAAAAATGTTTATAACAATATTTTAGAAAAGTTAATCTTTAATAAAAAGAAACTGGCATTTTATTTTTTATTTTTAATTATACAAAGTCATAATTGTGCCCTGAAAAGAAAAAAAAAACGATAAAACTGTGTCTTGTAATTTTACTTCCAAATCATACAATTTCAATCTCAAAGTTAGTATTAATGTCCACAATATTTTTTTTGTAATCAAAACTAACTTCCCTCTAGGTTTAAATTCATGTGGAGAAAAAAAAATTGAATCTTCAATTTCGATTTGAAGTTTTTGTTATAATGTGAGTAATATTTAACAAAAATTTGACGTCAGTTTTGAAATTTGTGCTGCTACCTGAATTAAATTTAAAATTAAACCGTAGTATGTCTTCAATTAACTTACTTGTTCATGGATATGCACAAATCTCGTCTTATTATTTGACAGGTTGTACACAATTTTTCCTTTATGAATATTAATGCAATATTAAAATTTAATTTCACAAATTGTGGAGAAAAAATAACGCACGAAATCTTGCGCATTCGGTTTGTTCTTTGTCATAAAAACGTGATGAAGCCAATTTCAAAGTACATACTGAGGGCACATACAAATTGTCCACTGGACGATCATGCTGTAATTTATTAATATTAAATCATTTTCAAATGAATTCAAATTCAAGCTCGAACCTTTGGCACGATCGTTACTCTTTCAAACCTATTCCAGAACCTTCCTGTGCTGCTGTCCGAATTGTTGTCTAAGCAGGCAGCAAACGCAGCTGCAAAATTGCATTGGTCCAACTGCTTGGAAGCTGCACCAGAAATAATTTAATGTTTATTTCACGAAATTTATACATACTCGTGTTATCGCAACTTTTGATTTTCTGATCGAAAGTCTCGCGGAATTGCAAATCAAAACCTGTTTGAACATCGGACTGCTCCCTGATGATGAAGTTGTTGAAAATATCGAATTTTTTGCTGCCCAACATTTTTTTTATTCCACTGTCAATTAAGCTGCCATCGAATTTTTCATCAAATTCTTTCATTTCAAGTCTGTTAAAATTAATGGTTAATTTTTGAAAATTATGATACATGATCATGTTTATTTACTCATATGTGTAACCCTCATTTAAAAGGTATTTTATTTTCTTGTAGTTTAGTTTGTTATTTTTGTAGATCTAAATATTCTTACTTCATCAAGATATAAGAGCTATATCAAAATATTTATTACCAGTCCCAATTTTTCAGACATGCAGTGCATGAAACACTTTGATTCTACATTATTATTATTATGCAAAAATTAAATCAGATTTTTTTACCTTCATTTGGAATGAAAATGTTTTGAACTCGCCATTTTGTATCTTCAAAGTATCCCCTATTTAAAATAACAAGGATTTTTAATATTTTTATCCAAAGTATAATAACATTACTCTTTTTTAAGCGGTGCAATTCCCGACACTCGTTTAAAACTTCAGAGCCAGGAGATCTGATGTTTTCTATTCTGGCCTTAATTTTTTTTTTATAAATATTTTCAATTAGGAAGTAATTGAAACTAATCATACTTCACAAATCGACAAATGCAGCTCGTCACATTTTGCAGATCCCAGTTCAGAGGCAAAGTTGCTCGACTGCACATACAAGCAGCTATTTATCAAATTGTTCTCTGCTTCAGTTTTGGCCCAAATCAAATTTTTTCGATCAACTCGTTGGGCCACGATTCTGGAGCACCACTGCAAATTTCCTTCGTAATCAATTCCAGATGTCCAGTATTTCACCCCGCTTTCAGTCAAGTTCACTTTACCATTTTATATTTCAATTTTAATAAGATCTTTTTAACTATATTTACAAACAGCTATTCAACGCATCATATAAACAATTCTGCTTCTCAATACTTTCGACCGAGACCAAATCCATAGAAATTGATTTGCAATTCTGGTGAGATTCGTTCCAGTTGGCCTTTAAAGAAATAAGAAGAAGAAAAAGAGAATTATTATATTGATTTCGTTTAGTTCATGCTAAAATTTTAAAAAAAAGATCAACAGATCACTTCCAACAATTTTTTATACAAAAGGGGTCAATTTTTAATTATTACGGGAAAATGCGCTGGAATTAGGAAGTATAGACCGCAAGCTTCAATCCAAGTTCCAAATCGAGTAGGTTCTATTTTTTTTATTTGTAAATACATCAATGTTATTTAATTACCAAAAATTAATGGCCTTACGAAATATTCGCCTTAATTCCCATAAGCCACGAAATCCAAGAGATATGCTGAATTTTGAAACTGGCTAAATATTTTAACATAAACATGAATGATTTTTTTTCTAACAAAATATAAAATAAAATACTAAGGTTATATTTCTTTGTTTAGATGGAAGACTGTATTGAATATTTTCGCAAAACGGTGGAATCTGGAGACTTAAATTTTCATATTTATCTTTGGAAGTGTTACTTGAGGATCCCTAAAAACTTAAAAATTAATTTTACTCGAGAAATGGAATTTATTATTACGATTCCGAAGTTAAAAATGATTGTGGCGTTGGGGTCTTCCTGAAAGGAACACGCAAGATTGGCAAGTTCCTTGCAAGGCTTTACAAATGGTTCAGGGTCGGGATCCATGACGATGATATTGAGTAACTCATTCCCTCTGAAGCTGAAAGTCCTGCCAATGGCGAGACACGCTCCTGCTTTGTTGAGATTGACAATTGGCAAGTAAAAGAACCAATCTTTCTCGTCGTTGAAACACCACGTGAACTGTCCAGCGCACCCCTGTCGTGTTGCACTTGTCCAGTACATTCCAGAATCAACTTTTATTGAAGTCAAGAAAAAAAATAATACTAATTAAGAACTCTCAAAAATATAGGAATTGTTTTGTAAATACAACTTTCTTCAACTTGATTAATACCTACAATACTAAATTACACCAGTACCAATTATTGTAAATACCTATGTGGATTTGATCAAAATCAACGGTCGTTAAAGGTGGAATTCTATCGTTTCCCAACGAGTAAGATATCGGGCGCATCCCTAGGGAGCAGCAAGTTTCCCAGTTTTCTTGCCATGTGACCTTCAATTTCAAATGTTTGAAATGTTGAGCTCAACAGCTTTCTCACCTGTGAATTTCCTATCAAGTAAACGATATTCTGTCCAGTTTCGAAAGATGTTGACTTTATAAATTTCCCAAATCGTAACGGATCTTTGTATAAAAATTTATGTATCATTTATTAATATCCAAACTCTTTTAATCAACCTCGAAGTTCCCAAGTTTTACCAATTTTTTTAAAAAGACTTTTCTGGAAAAAAAAATTTAAAAATATAAATTAAAAAAAAAGGATTTTCACAGACATTAATTTTGCATAGGTCCATTGGTGGGCACAAGGCTTTTGAGCAGGTGCTCTATGGAAATTGTTAGTAATGTTTTAAACACATTATTTTAAACATTCTGGATTACTTCACACAAAAATTTCATTTTCGTGTTGCAGTTAGCTCGGAAGAGAGTGTTACTATTTCTGTTCAATGCAACGCAGCCCAAACTTGAATTTGGTGATATTTTTGCCAGTTTTGATGAGCAAGTTTTGTTAACGGTACACCAAGTTATGCTTGATCCAGATCGCTGTGCAGCCCCGCTTGTCCAAAATACTTCAAGTTTTCATATAAATTTATTTTGTAATCATTGTTTTAAAACACAACCTGATTCTGCGCTTTTTTTCTTTAATTTTTCAAATTGTTCGAGCGTCATATTTTCTTGAGCTGTTTGATGAAAAAGCGTATGAATAATTTTGAATTTCCAGTGAAAAACTATTTTTTTTCTATGAAAACGTGGCATAAAATTGAAATTGCTCCTTAATTAGGTTGGTTCTAGAATTTCTTAATTATGCTATTTTTGTGTATAGAACTTTTTATTTGAAGGGGTGACGGTATTTAAAATAATAGATTACATAGTGATATTTAATTAAGTGCATATTTACACATTGTATGTTCCCATGACTTCAACGTTTCTGTTATTCTATTCGGTTCTTCGTCCATATCTTCAAGTGCCAGTAATGACATTCTGCGCTTCAAACAATCTACTACAGCATTTCTAAAAGTCATCTATTGGATAAAGACGCTCATAAGTTTTCAATTAATTACAAATTTCAGCTTACTGGGGATTCGCTTTTATAATAAACGCGGCCAGATGACTGAAATTTAAATCCTTCAAGATTTCCATTTGTGAGAAGGTAATGCACGGCTAAAGCTAATAATTTCAATCAAAAAAAGTGATTTAATTTTTGAAATAAACTTTATCCAGTTTGCATACATTCCTGTGGCGCAGTGAAATCTATAAATCATTTAAATTTTAAATAAATCATGTAAGGTAACGGTATTTTTAACCTTCAGAAATTGCATCCAGTATAAATTGCTGTAAAAATTAATTTTTATAAACGTTTATTTCCTTAATAAGGTTTGAATATTTTTCAGACATTATTCATCCTCTCATAAAGTGAGCAGTTCGCACGCGTTTTCAAAGAGCAATTAGTTTTTCCTTCGGAGCCGATAAATTTAGCAGTAAACTAACAAGAAAGGGAGAATTTCACTATGAATTAGAGTTAAGACAAAATACTACCTGTAAAATGAGGACAAACAAATTAAGTTGTGTGACACGCATTTTTCTCTCAGGCGCTCACAGAACTGCCTGTCGACTATTATCAAAACATTGATGCGCCACACATGGAAATTTATTCGAAAATTAATTTTCGATACTTCCTGTTAAACTTAGGCGTGCATAGTTATAAGCAATATGACCTAAAGGTTTAGTAGGAAAACGTAATAAAATAATAAATTTTTGCGCTTTATTTGAAATTTTATCATTTTTTTCTTTTGATTGTGAATTTTTAAGTATTTCTTTTATTTTGCTTATTGAAAGAAGGAAGGAAGTCAACTTTTTTTGTAATGATTTGCTTAATTTGTAATTAAATTAATACTTTATCTTTATTCAATTTTCCGACAGATTTTCTATTTCTTTCATTCAAATAATATATTAAGCACAAAATCAGATTATCATCAATCAGTATAAAATAAATACATTTTCAAGAAATTAAATTAGAGTCACTTCTTCAATTATATGTATATCGAACGATTCGATAGTGCTTTTTAATTTTTTCAAACCATGTACCTGTAAGATAAGGACAACAAAAGTGAATATTTTCAAACCCATCTTTTTATTTAGGCGTTTGTGTGCGCCAAAAGTTTCTAAAAAAGCGGAAATGCGTTTGAAGTTTTCAAAAATTAATTAGTGAAATTTCCTGGCAAACTCCAGTGCGTATATTGATTGAATTGAAATTTCCTAAAACGTCAATTTCTAGGAAGTGGTGACGAATGTTTTGTTTTTATCATGTTGACAGATCTTCATGAGAAAAATCTTTTGTTCTCTTTCAGCTTGTGGAAAGCCTACAAAAATAATCATAATAAATAAATTTATTGTAAATAATCATTTAGCTTTGCGTATTTATTCATAGCGTGCAACTGGCAACTGGCGTACAAAAATGTAACAATTAAAAAGTATGAAAAATATAGCAATGCACTGGAGATTCCAAATTAATTTTTCTATCAATATTATGAGTACTACTTTCAAGAGTCGAGTAAAAAACCACCGACTCGCCAGACTCGAGGAACTCGCCAGACTCGAGGAACTCGCCAGACTCGAGGAACTCGCCAGACTCGAGGAACTCGCCAGACTCGAGGAACTCGCCAGACTCGAGGAACTCGAGGAACTCGCCAGACTCGAGGAACTCGAGGAACTCGCCGGACTCGAGGAACTCGCCGGACTCGAGGAACTCGCCGGACTCGAGGAACTCGCCGGACTCGAGGAACTCGCCGGACTCGAGGAACTCGCCGGACTCGAGGAACTCGCCGGACTCGAGGAACTCGCCGGACTCGAGGAACTCGCCGGACTCGAGGAACTCGCCGGACTCGAGGAACTCGCCGGACTCGAGGAACTCGCCGGACTCGAGGAACTCGCCGGACTCGAGGAACTCGCCGGACTCGAGGAACTCGCCGGACTCGAGGAACTCGCCGGACTCGAGGAACTCGCCGGACTCGAGGAACTCGCCGGACTCGAGGAACTCGTGGAACTCGCCAGACTCGAGGAACTCGTGGAACTCGCCAGACTCGAGGAACTCGCCAGACTCGAGGAACTCGGTGGAACTCGAGGAACTCGGTGGAACTCGAGGAACTCGGTGGAACTCGAGGAACTCGTGGAACTCGAGGAACTCGAGGAACTCGCCAGACTCGAGGAACTCGCCAGACTCGAGGAACTCGCCAGAATCGAGGAACTCGCCAGAATCGAGGAACTCGCCAGAATCGAGGAACTCGCCAGACTCGAGGAACTCGCTAGACTCGAGGAACTCGCCAGACTCGAGGAACTCGCTAGACTCGAGGAACTCGCCAGACTCGAGGAACTCGAGGAACTCGCCAGACTCGAGGAACTCGAGGAACTCGCCAGACTCGAGGAACTCGCCAGACTCGAGGAACTCGCCAGACTCGAGGAACTCGCCAGACTCGAGGAACTCGCCAGACTCGAGGAACTCGTGGAACTCGAGGAACTCGCCAGACTCGAGGAACTCGCCAGACTCATGTTCTGCTGATTTCCTTGAATTGTCCTGCCTAAATTTAGTATGGATAAATTAATAAAAAAAAAAATGGATCAATTATTGATTTTTGAATTGTAAATGAGTTTCATTTTAAACTCAATTAAAAAAATTTGAGATAAAACTTAATGATATGATGAATAAGATAAAGATATTTAAATAATATTAGTTATAGTTTTTTATAATTAATAATTACAGGTCTCTTAGATGTATAATAGTGCAAAAAGTTTGCTCATCATCATGATTTTTAAAGTATTACTGGGTTGCAAAGTGCACCCTTATCAGATGCAGAATCCTGCGGAATATCAACCCTTCATTTGTAGACCCAGTAGGATAAATCATTGAGGTTCTCCCGAGAGTGGGAATCGAAACCACTATCTCCGTGATGGAGATTAAGAGCGCGCTCTACTTACTTACTTTGTGTACTTATTGTTAGCCACAAAAACATCATATTTTGATTGTTTCATATTTATGGTTGTTTCATTGTGGCGTTCGCGGCTTATTTCAAAAGTGCATGTCTGTGATTAGCTGAGGCAGTCGTCGCACCAGGCCCTCTAGCGGTAGAAATAAAAAACACAACCAAAACAAACAAATATTTTGCGGGAATTGCACCACCACTTGCATTGCCTATTTGTTTTACGAATTTTCTCGTTCAAGTCCCGAAATTTCCAAATTTTTTCGAGTCAGTGACTTTTCCTGCTTTTGCTTGCAAATCTAGACGCAGCGCTAAGGTATTCTCAAAGGTTGCATTTCATGCATTTTAAAAATGTAACCAAACAATATTGTTGTTTTGCAGGATAGTATGGAAGCTGGAACTGATTTGATTTGGTTCCAAACGCAAATCGACTCGTATCCAAAATGCAGAGACCACAAAGGAGTTTTGAATCAGTTCATAAAGGAAATCAAGAGCATGGACACTGCAGGACGGCAGCAGTTGCTGCCCCAGCTCAAGTTCCAACCCATGTTCGACACCCTCGTCAAGTGGAACAAGTATGACTAAATTTGAAATCAAATAAATTTTACCACAGTACCTTCTTCACAGCCCAATTTATGCCAAGCCGTTTTACGAACTGGTCAGCCTGGTTTTTGAAAATTGTGATGCTGGGAAAATCGTCAGTGAAAACGAGGACCTGTTGCTGGAATTTTTAGGCCATGTCAGCACTGAATTCTGCACTCTTCTGTTTAATGTGGTTAGTTTTTATTGTATCTGGAGTAAAATGATTGTATCAATCTATTTCTCAGCTCGATCGAGCCATCTCTGAAAGTGGAGTGTCATGTTTCAAAAAGTCGCCACAGCTGATGTACAAATTGGTTCAAAGTATATCCTCCGAGGAAGCAGATTTGGATTCCCAAGTTTTGAGTCTTCTGGAGAAAATCATTGCTCAGCCTGAAGGAGCCAAATTAGTGTTCGGATCAGACATTGGTCAGTGGCTTGGAGAAATGTGTGAAATGGCTGACATTCGGTTTCGAGTTTTTGAGGTAATTTTTTGTTTCTTTGAATTTTAAATTTTCAAAATTATATACATTGTCTTGCAGCTTGCCTCAACAGCAGCTTGTGGAAGTGCTGAAGGCTTGGAATTTGTCAAAACGTGCAACATTTTGCAAGAACTTGAGGTTGTTGATTTATTCGAATAATTTATTTGAAAACTAATCCAAAATTAAATATCTAGAGTGGCTTGCAGGGAGCGATGGCCCACGTGGACCAGGTTGGATTTGCTGCCACCGTTGATTGCTTTACAAAACTAGGAGCAACCTCTTGGGGTTATAAAGAGTTGTTGGAATCAGGAGTTTTGTCAAAACTTGAGGCCCGAGTTGTAGAATATGGTCCCGGAACCATGGAGGACAAAGTCATGCCATGTAAAGTAAATGAAGTTCAAAAGAGGAAAAATATTCATTTATTTTTTCCAGCCGTTTACACATTTTTCGGACAAGTTTTCAAACATTTTCCTGAGCAAGCCTTGAAAGACTGTCCAAAAGTCGTCCCCACAGTTATGAATTTGATCGACATTTCTATAGACAGGGCCTATGTCACCAGGACTGAGATGGAAATGATTGGAATGGTAAAAAAATCTATTTAAGAAGATTATTTTCGATAAATTTTCTCAAAATTTACAGGTGGCAGCAAAACCAGCTGGAAAGCGTCACTTGGCAAAGTTGGATCCACCTGTCACTTTGGTTTTGTCTCACCTGAAGCAGTTCATTTCTTCTGGGTCGTCTGTAGACAAAATTTGTGCAATCGAAACTGTGTCCAGTCTTATTGCGCTTCAGGTATGACTTTAATTCACTTATTTTAATCACAACCATGACCATCGTATGAATGTTCAGGACAAAGATCAAACTGAAGAAATGCTAGCCATCACTAAAACTTGGTTTGAGGTTGTCTGGACGTCGGTAGAGGTGCTTTTCCATTTCTGCCAGGAGCCCTTCCCAGGAATCAACCGAACTAGCATTCCTGTCTTTGTCTCTGAAACAGTCCAGTGCAGAAATAGTGGACTTCAGGTACTTTTTTTTAACTTTTAAATTTAAACGTCCAATTAAAAATTAGCCAAATTGATTATTTTAAAATTGATTATGCATTAAAAGATTTAATTTATTTTAAAACAGATTGCATTTTTTAATAAACTTTTTTGTGTGTATCAGCTTCTCTCGACCTTGGCTAATTTGGCGTGGGGTCGAACTGAGATCTGCAAACTTCCCTCTTTGCTCAACTGGCTGGCCGAGGGAGAATTGTGCCAGGACGTTCACTTCAGCACCAACGGAGTGCCGAGTGCTGAATCTCTGCAGCTCAAACAGGACGTAGCTAATGTGATACTGAATGATGCCAAAACACCAGAGCAAAGTAAGAAAATCCTATCGAAATTGAAACTCAGTGGCCTCGAGGCGAAGAGAATCAAGTGTGTGTGAAATAAGAAATGCATAATTGATAGGGTGCATTATTTTTATAAATTAAATTGGGATCCACAATTAATTTGATTTTCTTGGAGTGATTTTAATTGTTAGCCCATCCTTTGGCCGAAGGATCAGTTCCCCAAGCAAGACCAGGTTCTCTCGTCTGTCGACCGCCTCAATTCGGTAGTTTCGCAAAACAGTTGCAATGGCGCATTTTTCCTCAAGCATTGCAAACTTTTGACCTAAAATATTGAAATTAAATTTAAATTACTAACATTTTTCCATTAAAACTTTTATAATTCTTATATCTACAGAGGAGCAAATTTTTATGGAAATTCAAAATTAAATTTTTATCACATTTTCCACTAAATTTTACCTATGCAGTTTCTGGGTCCAGCACTAAATGGGACGTAAGCATAAGGATGTCTGCCCAAGCAGTTTTCGGGCAGAAATCTGTCCGGATCGTAAACCTCAGGGTGGGGGAAGGTTTTTGGGTCTCGGTGCATCACATAAACCATGATTGCGGTTGTTGTGCCAGCGGGAACTAAGTATCCAGCTATTTAAACAAAGAATATATATATTTTTAATTTGACAAATTATTTTATACCAATATTAGTGTCCTCCCTTAAGATCCTGCCAAGCATCGGCACGCTCGGAAATAATCTGAGAGCTTCCTTAATGCAACACTCGAGATACTTCAGCTCAGCCAAGGCCTTGCTTGTGATCGGATCATCTCCCAGGACACGTTCGATCTCCTCGTAAACCTTCTCCTGAAATATGACAGATTGAAAAAATAATGCTTTTCACGATTTGATTCTGAAATATTAAATTTAACATAAAAAATTTAGACCTATATATGAAGATTCTATATTAAAAAAGAATAATAAAATAATGTTATAAATTAAATTTTATATTTAAATTCACCTGAATTTTCATATCCGAGCCAATAAGGAAAAGGCACCAACTAATCGCAGCAGAAGTCGTGTCATGGCCCTGAATAGAATAATTTAAATTTTGCTTTATTTTCATCTTAATTTTTAACCTCAAACATAAAAGTGTCCACTTCCTCGCGAATGTCCTCATTACTCAAATAGGCGCCATCCTTAGAGGCTTCAATCAGCAAGTCGAGAAACGCCAGTCGCTTTTTTATTCCTTGATTTTTTTTTATTTTTTTATATTTTTGATAAAATTAGATTAAAACGCACCGATTACATCAACGTCGTCAATTTTGTTTGCGTCATTCAGCTTTTTCTGGCGAACCTCTTCCTTTCTTTCCTGAATGACCTGAGGAATAGTTACAAACTGGTAAAAGAATTTATTTAATTTTATATTTTTTTAATACCTTATTGGAGAATCCATGCAAAACTTTTATGCACTCACTATGCTTTTTGAAATACTTTGAAAATCGAAAGATCTTTTCGTTCTGCAACCAAATACGCGCTTGTCGTGTCAGAATAATGTCACCAAGACTAGTGAAGAGAAAATTAATACAATTCAGACATTAATAGAAAATTTTCACTCTCACTCGTAAATTGCTTTCACGTATTCCGAATTCTGGTTGTCTTGCGCGTTCAGCCGAATGCCCATGGCGGTTTCTGTACAATAATAAAATTTAGAAGGTGAAAACGTTCGCTACAAATACATCCACGATGAAAGTTCTCTCACCACAAATGACGTCAAGGGCGAACAGGGTAGCATAGGGGAAAATGTTGAAGCCCGAGTTGTTCACCTCCTTCTCTAGTTTTTGCACCAAAATGTCACTTTGTTCCGTAAAAACTTCCATGAAGTCTTCCAAAATGCGAAAATGGAAGGTTGGCGTCAAAATTTTTCTTCTCGAGTGCCATTTCTGACCTAAATTTTTTTATGAATAGAAAAATCTTTAGAATTAAAAGATTAAAAATTTACCTTTGCTGGTCAAAAGCCCGGTGCCCAACCATGGGTGCAAATAATTGTAGTCGTAGCTCTTTTCTATATGCTTGCTGCTTGTCAAAATTGGCTATAATTTTTAAAAAGTTCAGAAATTTATTCTGGAAACTAATTTAAATTACTTCAACCGTGTCGCATCTATACAAGAAAACGTAGGGCTGGCTTCCGAGCCAAAATCTGTTGATCCCAGTTTCCATACCACCCCAAATTTGCATGTTCGTCGACATTCTTGTGAAAATTTCTTTATAAACAAAAATTGAAAAATAAAATAATGGTGTAATTTGTAAATGAGAAAGATACCATCGTGAGCTACGTTGATTTCCAGAGTGTTGCCCAAAATTGGCAGCGCCGACGGTCCAGGAATGAGCGCGAGCCACTTGTTTCGGCGCAGCCTGTCCCTGATCCGTCGCCAGAGCAGGAGGACGCTCAAAACAGAGAGCATCGCCAGCAGAATCCATCCGTTGGCAAACATTTTGGAAATGTGTGGGGAATAACGTGGGTGGAGAGCTCCTTTATAGACTGCACTCCCTTCCCCCAATCTGGTTTTCCCTTTCAATTAAGATACTCTCCTTAACTCCCAAAATGTGCATGACCGAAGTCAGGTCAACAATTCTCTGAATTGTTTTTGTCGGAAGTTATTTTTTCCACAAATTTCTGGATTGAAACATATCAAAAGAAAAAATATCAGATTTGTTTTATAATAATTATTTTGGTTAGTTGGTTTTTATTAAATACAAGCCATCAACAGTTGAGTAACAAAATTTTTGGAACCTACAAAACAAGGCCATTTTTTGACTTCACGTGAGAGTATTTTTTTTCCATTAAAGGCCAAAGAGGGCAAACAAATTTAGTTTGTTCTTCAAATGCGTACAATAATCCTGTACATATTACAGATATACATTTCGGTTAGAAAAATGTACAAAACACTCTACAAAGGTATGGCCTCGAAAAAAGATGGCCACGTACGGTGTCAATAATAAATTTCTCACCGAGGAGAGGTGCTCACAAAATTAGGCATCACGTTTGAAAAATCGCTCGCATAAAAGCAATACAAATATTATTTACAAAATGTTGTTGCGTTAATTAGACCAGAAGTGATTCTCTCGGCTAACACAGTGTTAGAATGACTCATTTTCTCTCTGTTAGGACTAAAAATATATTAAGTCACGCAAACATCATACGAATAGACAAAAATAAAACAAATTTGATCACATAACGTTGAAAACTTCTCTCGTTTAGCTGAATAATATAATAAATTCTGTTTCAGGCATTTTTTTCTTTTGTGATTTACGTACAGAGGTGAGATAATAGAGTTCAATAAATGTAATAATTAGTAATCAGTCCTCGAAAAAGCCTCTGATTTCTTTAAAGTGTTATTATTTCAGGTAAATGCTGCTAGGTGTATTTTAAGTATTTCCAAAACTCATTTGCAACTTCCAACAGCTATAGAAGGCAGGGTGTACAAAATATTACGTTAGGCGTGCTCATCGAGGACGATGACACTTGTTTCTCGGTGGTTTGTCTTGTCATTGGTGGTGTCCACCGAAAGGTCCATGTTACTGTGGGGACTAGAATAGTTGGCGGCCTCTTGCAGCCGCATCAGCATGTTCAACTGCAAAAATTTAAAAATAAAAATGAATTTTTCTCTGCATAAAAACTAATTTTTCAAACTTACAAGAGGATCTGCTTCTCCTCCGCTGTTGGAATTGGGCTGGGCAGTGCCAGGTGGGGAGGAAGAGGTTTGAGCCACAGAATTCTGCATTTCGTAGCCAACGTCTTCGGGTCGCAATCTGAGGGTGACAATTTTAAATATTGCTCACTTAATATTTTTTAATCATACTTGATGAGGGCATCAGGCCCACCCTGAACAGCGTCGTTGGTCCAAGGGTACGTCTGGGTGATGAAACGAGTCGGATCCTCCCAAGGACCTCGTCTGCCGTACAACTGAAGGCCCTCACGCACTGCCTCCAGCAGATACGGCACCACAGAGTAATTCCACAGGTCAGTGAACCAAACCTGAGACCCTGCAACTTCGACTGGACACAAGAGGAAGAGTCGAGGGCCAATGGTCACATCACTTGAGCTGTGCATTTCTAAGAATTTGTTCAAATGCTGCCAGACCTAAATCATTATTGAAATAAATTAAAAAAATTCAGTTTGAACACATTTGTTTGTAATTTCTTGTTTTAAGTTTTAAATATTGAAAAATATTAGTACAAAAAAGCAAAATTAGTAAAGTTTATACTTGATAAAGATATATTAACCAACTTGTTAAATTTTGTACACTTACTCTGGGAATCCAGTCAAAGATGTTGCAGAGCTCAGAGCTCTGGTTGCCACTCTTGATCTGGACATCAAGCAGGCGGCGCTTGAGGAACCTGGCGAGCAGCCCCTTGACCGGCTCCAAGTGGTTGGCGCACAGCACCCACCTGAAGTTATGGTGCAACTGCAGGTTTGTTGACGAGCAAGTCGTCTGGTTCATTGTGCCAATTATGTACGGGGAGTGGGGGAAGCGCGCGTTCAGGAAGCCATTGAACATGTCGGACATGCTGGACACGTTGTGCAAGTTGTCCAGGATGATCACTGATGGCAGATCGGATGCTGCGTTGTTCTCGCACTGTTCCGAGAGGTTGGCCAGGTACTGCTTCAGCTCTTTGTTGCTCTTGTGGTCCACACTGAGAGAGGAAATAGTTTAAAATTGTGATTATAATGTAAAAATTTAGCACTCTAATTTTTCAATTATTATTTATAAAGGAACAAAAACTTTGTAATATCCCATTATAAAAAAAATAAATGAAAAGTTGAAACTAGTCAAGCCTTGAAAGTTAATTCAGTAAATAAAATTAAATAAGCTATCAATTTAATTTTAAAAATGCTATTTTTTTTTAAATTGGTACTTACTTGAAAGAAGCTATGGCTTCTGGAGTTGCTTCTCTTCCCTCTCTTTGGACCAAAAATTGTGCCAGTTTATTTGCAAGGAAGCTCTTTCCAGTCCCACTCGGCCCACAGAAAATAATTCTCCGGTGCTCACTCAGCATATTGATGTACCTAATTTATTAATAAATTTTATTTTCTGCGCCAAATGCATTTTTAATTATAGCTTACCTTTGTATCCACGCTTTTGGAATCAGGGTTTCAAAAGTAAGAGCGTCCATGCAGCCCGAGTGTTGTGCGGATTTGACGCAGACTTTGATGGAGACGTCCCCGACCAGGTAGCCGAAGGGCAACAAATCTGGCAAGTCAGACTGCCCACAGAGCCGTTGCACTTCCCCCAGATGGTAGCTATAGACGGACTCGGCCTGAAGGCCAAGACTGCTCGAAGGGTCTAACCAGCAGACATACTCGACAAAAGCTTTCCTGATCAGAGAGTCAAGCGTTTCCCATGTCATTTTAGTTCCAACGCAGATTGTGGCGATCAAACATTCCGTCAAGCCTTCGTCTTCGAGGTCTGATGTCGAGGAGCCGCAAACATGTTTGCCGCCAGTAATTACGGTCACTCGGACCTTTGAGCCAAGAGTGTCTCCATAGGCAGGGTTGAATTCTGGAAGGAGAGGATAATTTTAAAATAAAATTTAAATGCAGTGAAAAAAAATTGTGGGTATGAAGAAAAATTAATACCTGTTGCTGTTGGTGAGATGTTTTCAGAATTTGCAAAATTCTCGGGGTTGTTATCCTGAAGGGGCAGAGATGATTGGGACGAAGTAAGAGATTTACTGGTGACGATTCTCTGCAGTCTTTCGTTGTCTTGCTTCAGAGACAACATCTCCGTCTAATTTAAAAATCAGATTTTTTTTTAATATATACAAATTTTTGTAAGACTTTGCTTACTCTCATTTTGTGGACCGTATCTTTGAGAGATTCTAGTTGGTGGGCAGAACTCAAAGCCTCTAGACGAATATCAGTCAAGACAAGATCTTTTTCTCTTAACTGCCGTTGCAGTTCTTGCACAGCTTCCGTACCGGTCAGGTCTTGGTTGTAGAGCCTATTACATAAAAATAATCAATTTTTGCTTATTCATCCACAAAATGTCATCTTACGCAGATGGAGATCCATTAAGGGGATGTTCGTCTTCGTCAGCCTCACTGTTGTTGGACGATTCAGTGTTGCCTGAATGGTGTTTCTGTGAGAAGAGCATTGGTGACGCTGGGGCTGACATTTCACTGTGACCATGGGTTTCGATTTTCCCATCTTCGACGTCAGATAATGAAAGTCCGCCAAGTTGGTCTTTTTTGTTTCGCGAAAAGGCTTTGCTGAATGAGCTCCTCAGCTAAAAGGAACAGATCAAGTTCAAGGATTATGATTGTTTCTACAAAATAATGCTTACCCAGCCCTTCTTTTTCTTGTTCAAGGCCACCCTCCTTCCCGATGAGGCTCCACTGCATGCAGACGAGAGACTCGAAACAGAATCTATCGAGAGTTGACGGTGCATTGGAGATGTTTTCTCTGGTTCTGCAACAAGAATTTGAAATTTAAGCAATGATAATAATTTTACTAGGGATTTAATCTACCAATTTGGCCATTGGGGATCATTGCAGGGTCTAGATTTGATTGACGCAACATGTCGATCATCCCTCTAAGCTCTTGCAGTTCCATATCCTTGAGAGAAAAATTTGTAAATTTTGTTGTAACTATTTTTGAAAATATAATTTGAATACCTTTTTCTCAGAGGTGGCAATCATTTGCTGTAAACGTTGAGTCATGTTTGCCAAAGATTGTTCAAAGGCTGAAACAACATGAGCCTGCAAAAAAGTTTTAGAATAATATTTAATGTAGAGGGAAAATTTTAGCCTACATTTGTGGAGAGTTGACTTGTGAGTGTGTGCACTTTGTCTTGGGCCTCAATCAGCTCCCTCCTCAACTTTCGAATTTCATTTGCCTGCTTTTCTTCAGCGGTGCTATACAAAGACGAAGCCGTCGACACCAAACTCAAGGAAGAACCATTAACTATTGAGAGGGCAAAATATTGAGTCAAATCTTCAGGTTGCCTTAAAATTAATTTTACCATCGTCATTTTTGGCAGGGGCAGCCTTTGAGGCGTAAGGGGACATGGTTGCTGGTCTTCCAGGACCAGAGTGTCTATAAATGAAAAAATTTACACTGTTGGGCGCAAAGAATTTAGTTTTAAATTTACCTATTGGAAGCTTGGGTTGGGCTGGTGGGTTGAGATTCAGCACTTCCAGGTACACCAGGGCCTTTTGCAGCTCCATTACCCTGAACTGTGTAGTAATAAGGGTCATGCAAGATGTCCTCAGAACGTTGTAACATTGAGGGGTAAAGCTTTTCGGATTTAGTTGACCTACAGAATTTAAACAAAAATTAATATATAACAATTGAAAATAAGCAGGAAATGGGCAAAAAGAGGACAGAAGCTGGTGATTTTCACCGATACATGCAATAAATATATAATTTAGCGCTGAAATGAACAGGTAAGCGATTTCAAGAAGCCAGGAAAATGAAAAGATGTCTGCAAATAATTGGTACAACATAGATGTTCGTGTTACTACCTTGGGAATGTCCTAATATGGCTTTTGCAATAAATTTGCAGAAGATTGTCAATTAGTGTTTTGTATTCAATTTATCATATTTACAAGTAATTTAAACCAGGGAAGATTTAGATTGATTATATAATAACAAATTTTCACCTAATACTGTTGCTACGGTTGAGCCTCGAGGTCTGTGGACTTTCTCTGTTTTGAAAGAGTACTCTGGCATGAGACAATGAGGCTCTGTGCTGCGAGGAGCCCATTGACGACAGGGAATCTGTGCTATCTGTCAGCGAGTCTATAAAAAAAATTCAATCAATTTTCTAATCTATAAGTAAAATTAACTCGTCGTACTGGCATTGCATCTGGAAATGGAAGCATTGTAGGTAGAGCTGTGCCGGAGCCACGAGTACGGGCTTCCAGCCTCAGTTGGACCACGGGTGCCGTAAATATTGTTTGTAATTGCACTGGTGGCTGCAAGTTCAGCGTAAGTGGAGTACGCAGTATCACTCAGGGAGCCATCAGTGAACCTTGGAGGAGCTTTAGTGCCAACTCGGGGCGACGACGGGGACTGCTGCTGGTAGTACTGACCATAATTTGGGTTTTGGGCACTGATGTCTGTTGTTGCACTATCCATACTCGACTGTTTTGGCAAGGTGTGATGAGAGGTGTCTGAAATTGTTAATTTTAAATTAAACCCCGTGCATTTGAATTTAATTCCATGCAACAGACTCTAAGGGAAAATTTCTAGACTATGAAGCTAGGACTGGAAATAAAACTAACCTCCAAGCATCAAGCGTTCTCTAATGTTTGCAGACAATTTTGATGCTCCTTGCACAGTTAATGAATATGATTTGTAACTACTAGCAGAACCTCTACGGCTAGGAGAATGGTTGAATTCGCCTGCTAAAAGACAGCGTAGAATTATCATCCAATTGAAATCACTCGCTCGCAGTATTGGTTCGTTGTTAACAAATACAATGCTTTGTTAAAGAGATCAAAAGGGCCACTTAAAATTTAAAAGGAGTTAACTGATTAAATGGACATGCCTCTGAACGAGCTCAAGTAAGATAATTGGAAAGCAATATAAAGAGATTGAACAAATTTTGGAATGTATAAAATTTCAAGCTAGTTAAACAAATTAGAAAAATTATTTAAAATTTTTGTTTTAAAACTCACCGTTGAGAGGAACAGCATCAACATTGTTTGTTTGCGTGCCACCACTGATTTTCACCTTTGACTGTCTAGTTCGTGGACTGCTGGTAGCCAATGTGTTGGAATTGGTCTTGAGAACAGGAGAGCCCTGATTATAGTAAAATAAAGTTCTAATAAAAAAATAAAAAAAATTAATTAATTTTTACTTGTGGCACAGCTTCTTCATTGGTCATTTTATTGTTCTTGGTGTTGGAACCAACGCTGCTGCCACTGCTGCTGCTGCTCTTCTTTGGCATGTACATGTAGTTGCCACTAGAAATTCGGGTGTTCGTGTAAGGCGACATTCGACCGAGCGCCGACTGTTGGTTGGCAACTGTCTCAGTCTGCTGTGAGCTGCTACGCCGACTTCTCTCCTCCTTCCCTGCAAGTTGAATCAAAAAATAATTATTTTTTAAATAAAATTTAAATATTTTGAGGTATGCAACCTGTCAGTCATTAATGTGTTAAGGTGTTGCATAATAAAAATAATTGGGGATCAACAAACCTGATCTAGAAGTTCTCTCTTGGCTTTTGGATGACTTTGAAATAATTGGCGACTTGTTCATCTTTTTCAATGAGTCCTCACACAGATCTGACTTGCCCCGTCTCAGTTCAGGCTTTTCAGTAATCACTTTGCCTTGAGAATCCATCGGAAGGGGATACTTTTTCCACTGCTGGCCTTGTCTATAACACAGTTTGTAAAGTATTAAAATAAGAATTAAAAAATATTATGATGCAAGCAAGTTTGTAACAACACAAAAATCCAAAACTCCTCTCACCTGAATGAGGATGAATCTGTTTGCTGCGAGCTACTGGACTTCAGCTTGACCCTACTACCATGCTTTTGCACATCAGGCACATGCTGTTGGTTATTGAGTTGATAATGTTGTTTGGAAACGGACTGTCCATAGCCGTTACTCATCTTAAAATAAAAATGCGTTGTCGATAAAGAGAACGGAAATTAAAATATTTCGAACGGGAGCAAAATTGTTACAATTGATTTTTGCTCCTTTTCAGCTATCCTTCAGAATCTATTTTTACCTCGGACTGGCGGCAGTCATTACTCAAATCATTCAGGGGTGGGTCAGATACCTCACTTGAAACTGAGCTAGAGTCGTCACCCACACTGTTAAGAAAGCAAAAATACAATAAAATCAGCATTTGTCTGCAATATTCATAAACTTTAATTTCACCCCAGTTTCTTTCATAAAAATTCGATTGAATAATACTGATTTGTTTAAAAAAAAAAAATCGCAAGACCAATGGCAGGAATGACTTTTGAGGGCAATAAAAAGTTGGTCAAGCCATATAAAAATACAAAATATAATTTAGCCCTTTCCCTTTCCAGTATTAAAAATTACAAAAAAGAAAAAATGTTAAAAAAAATGTTAAAATTATAACAAGTAATAAAAAAAATCATTAGAATTTGCGAAAGTATTTTTTGGCTTGATCACAAGAAAAAATTAAAATGTCTGAATATAAATAATCAATTTGGCAGTGAATTCTCAGACAAAGAAATTATAATTCGCGAATGAATCCCAAGCGTGACTCTTTGCGTCATTCGCTGATCGAACAACGAGCCCTCGTTTGGTGCGTTCTTTTATTTTTCGCTCCAAGCAGGAAGCGAGAAACGGCAGCCGTACTCACTCGTGCGGATCACAATAGTAGCTCCAGCGCTTGATCGACATAATATCCGCTGGTCGCGTCGACCGTGCCCCTGCAGAACCACCCCTGTCGACATGCCCGGCCGACGGTTCGGCGCCGAAGGTGGAGGGGTCCAAGGATAGCTTGCTGGGGCCCAGCCCTCGGGACAAGCACGGACGAGCAAAACCCACCGCGGACCCAACCTTTTTCGCGAAAAGCAGCGAGTTTAGTACAAAGGGTTGGCACACCCGGCTTGGTAGGGGGTGGTGGGGAGGGGGTGCGGCCGACGACAAGACAAACACACATATGACTCACTCCCCTGCCCAGATCTCTGTCAGATGCTGATAATAGGGAAACCACTAAGCAAATATTTGTCCAGAAAGAAAAACACAAGACTTAAGTGTTTCATAAATAATTGGCAAAAAAAAAATACATAGCAAATTTGAGGAAAAATGTTATAACGTAAAAAGATTTTAATATCAATTCAGAAGAGAAGAAATTTTTCATCTCTTATACTCAGTGGAGCTTTATTCTAATTTTAGATTCTTTTTGTAAAAATTCTGTTCTGCTGGAATATATTAATGAGGTCTCAAATAATGAGTCACAATTAAAACGCACGTGAAGAGAAATGAGAGCGAGTAGAATGCACCCTTATACACACTTGGCGATATCATCAATAAGGGGGCGCACGCGCCTTGCGCCGACCATCTGCGATATTATCGTGTATTCTGCAGAGGGGTGATCAAAAGCACAGGCGCTGGCCGCGTAATGTGAAATAATGCACTAAACAAGGGCACGAGTGACACCTTCCGGCATTAGCGGGATTTTGCTCCCTGCTTTTTTATGATTCAAATTTTTTTTTTCTAAACGGATATTGGTCGAAATATTATTGAATTTTTTTAAATAAACATTTCAAAGTCCCTATATATACCTAATTTAAATAGCCTCTCTATTATAATTTTTTCCTTTCATTATGATATTACTAAAACTTTTCACAATTAATATAATTATCAAATATACTCATTCCACACTTATCAAATTCAAACCACACAAAATATGTAAAACTTTGTTAAAATAAAATTACGCACCTGTCCCTAAGAGTTCTTTTCAAGTACAGAGCGCCTTCAGACATGTAGCCGTCATTGCAATCTGAATCATTTCCTAGATTGAGAGCGTCTCCGTCTGACATGTAACCTTTATTGCAATTTAATTATTAAATGAATATCCACATATTAGAAGAAAAAAAATTGTTACCTCCAACGCCTGCAAAATTAGGAGTTCCGATTCCCATGTTATTCTTGAAAAAGAAGTTTCGTCGCCCTGGCCGCATATTAACAAACCCCTTATGATGTTCTGAAATAATGTTTAATTAATTTTCAGATCATTTGAGTAAATGAAGTTTAACAAACCAAAAGAGTATCTTGGTCTAATGAGGCTGAGCGGTTTGATGGGTGCAATGAATTCGTCGTCGGACTCGTTGTCCGGAGGCTGAAGTACGATTTCAGGTGGCTGGGTGGCCACTGCGTTTTTGATCTCTTCTGCAGGCGGCTCCTTGATGGTAGGAGGCGCCTCTGGAACTTTCTCGATCACAGAAATGGGACACACCATGGCAACGTTCTTCGGTTCAGGCCGAGGCGACCTGTAGTTTACGGGCTCCGGCATGGCCTTGGCTGTGCCTTTGATGGCGGCCATTGGTTTGGGAATGGAAGAGGATTCTTTGGTTTGTGGCACCTGGACTGGTTTTTGCTGAGGGATTTGGCATTGCACCGTAGGTACTGAGGCTGTTGGCAGATTAGTCACCTTTTCAGGCGGAGGCGCTGGAGTTGTTTCTTTTTTATGTGATTTGTGGGCTGTCCTCGGAGAACTCGCCTTTGAAACTTTTGATCGCTGCATTTGACTGTTTTGTAGAACTACAACCGGAGATATTGCTCTGGAATATGAAAATTTTCATGTAGTTCGTTTAATTTTTAGGAATAGAATTCAGTTTAAAACTTACGGAATGCTTGATATGCTAGTTGAGGAATCGCTTCTCTCTGAACGAGCAGAGCTGAAGCCACTGGAAGAGCTTGTGCGTTTTGAGCCGACAATCCCTTTTAAAAGGAAAAACAATTGGTGTGATAAATAAACTAATTTTTCCAACACATACCTTGTTTGTTCAGTCTTTGCGTGGAAGTTGTGGAAGAACTATTGTAACTTCTGGCATTGTTTGTGCTAGAGGAGTATTTCTTAGTGGGGTATTCGCTGCTAACAGGTGGGTGGTTGTTATTGTTGATGTTGGTGCCCGTCAGGCCGGACAAGCCAACAATGGACGGAGGTCGAAGACCGCTCCTAAAGATCCAGAGATTAACAATGACAAGTCTTGTCTGATATTATATTATTCTAGTTCAAACCTTTGATGCCCTTTATCTGGGTGGACAGCAGGTTTCATCGAAGGAAGCAGGGAAGTAACTGAGCCGTTATTGCTTAATGAAGTCATGCTTTCAGGTCTGCTCCCAACTCTGCTCGGAACTGAAGCAATGACAGAATCATATAAAAATGTACTTTGATACATTTGTGTTCACACTTGGATGGTTCTCTAATTAATTATGAGTATAAAATTACAAAGAAAGTTTAATGAGTTTACGGTCTGTGGTTAACCAAACCAATTTTTCTGACTTATCACACTTTTAAATTACACGGTGCTCAAGTTACTTACTGGACGTGTTTGAATTTCTAAGACTGGCGGGCGTTGGGATCCCCGAGCCTCTCTTTTTGTTCTGCGGCGACGGCATCCTGCAATTAACACAAAGGTTTGAGGTTTGTACTTGATTTTAATTATCTCCACGCGATTGAAAACTGGTTCAGTCGTAAAAAAATCATTCGCTCATTAGAAGTGAAACTAGATCGCAATCTGAGCGTGAAAGATGTTAATTAATTGCACTAATTATTTAATTAAACACATTAAATTAAATAAATAAAGAATGAAATTCTTCTTGTAGATTATAAATTTTGACTTTTAATCTAGTTAGTTTAATTTTGCAAGTGCGAAAGTTTTTATCCCGAGGAAATAATACGCCGTAGGAAAGGCTCTCACTTGGAATTTGAGGCAGTAGTGACAGGAGTTGCTGAGTCTTGCGATTGTTTCTGCTGCTGTTCGCGTCTCTGCTTCTGCTTATACCGGGACAGGGAGAAAAACAATCCGAGGATGCTCTTCAGGTTTCCCTCGCACACATCAGTGGCCGTTACTCCTTCGATTGCCACACCGATTGACTCCAGCAAAGACAAACACGAGATTACATTCTCCAACTGCAACAAAATTATAGCTCCGATGAAAGGTGAAAAATGCAAATATGTTTATAATACAAGTCGGTCGCGTGAATCAACGCGCGGCCCCGGTAAGTTATTACGGAAAAGAGGCTCCGTCCCTCGAGCGGCGTGTAATTATTATTTCAGGATCCAGTTCTGACAGAAACGAGGCGGACGGAGCATAAATTCATCATTACACGTATATAAACGTTTTCACTTGCATACACTCTCGGAAAAGACAGTTAGTCGCGCTACTGATGGGTTAAGTATAAAGGGGCAAAAATTATCATCCTCTCTCGTATATCGCGCTCCCAGCAATGGCACACAAGTGGAACGGCGCTAAAAGAGGCCACCAGTAATGCGATAGGCTGCATTATTCTGATTTGAATAAAGGAAGTTTTAAGTGAAAAATGGAACTTGGTACAAAGTATTTTAGAAAGGGCATGTATAAGCATCATCAGAGACTGTGATCGAATTTTAGCCTCTTCCCGAATCCTTACAAGTGCATAGAGAAAAATGCCGCCAATTTCCTGTTGTCATCGGAGCAAGTGGTGGACTTGGCTTCTGTGGGTCCGAAAAAAAACTCGCGAATGTTTAATTCTCTTTTTATAGCCCAGCCGACATTTGTATAAGAGAAAAGGTTGCCAGACAAAGGTCAAGTGCGGAGAAGAAAAAATTTGGCAAATTTAAACGCGATTTTTTTGTTTAATTTTAAATTCAGGTTTGGAGATTTAACATGAAGAGATTTCATTAAGCGATAAAGAGGAATAAAATGCTCGCGGCCAACATTGCGCTACGGTGTTTTGAACTCAATTTAATGAAGTCCGCGGCCTGCGATTTGCTTATCAAAACTCGTGTGCGTGCATTGTCTGGTTGAGGAAATCACCGTCATTTGACTTTTGCAACATCGTCCACCCTAAATTAGACAATGAAGGCCGCAATGTTGGGGTACTCGTGAGGTGAGGTCTGGCACGACAAGAGAGAGAAAAGAAAGAGAACAAATGCATGACATTCAAATGCGCTCCAGGCGCACAATCAGAAAGATTATCTGTTTTTGTAATATGGAAACTCTTTGTTCAATTTGTTTCTGATTGACCGATTACGGTTTTATGACTTATGTTTGTTTAAAATGACCTGGATTGGAAATTGCACATACAAAGTTTATAAATCCAAATTATATTAATGAATTTACATTTTAAATTTTGAATTAACACAAACAATTTTTAAGTTTAAAAGGTTTAAAAATACTTTTTAATTAAATTTCCGCTGTTTTTCTCTCATTAAAACAAACTAATTTTATAAAAATGTACCTGATTTATACAAATTTATTAACTATGAAAAAATATTAATCAAAAGTTCAACTGTTGCTGACAAAAATTAATAAACTAAATTAACTCCAAAACATTTTTTGATTGAAAAAAAAAATTATTTTTCAATAATAACAATATTTGACCAAAACCATGCGCTTTTCACCTATTAATAAAATAAATAATTTATAAAATTAAATATTTAAAGTCCCGGTATGTCAAACCCCTGAACTCAACAAGCAAAATAAATAGAAACCTGGCCAAATTTGAGCGTGTCACGTCGCAGGAACCGTAGATAGCGAAATTATTTGCGAGCGGAAACGGCGCACGGTGCGGCTGTTGGAAAATTGCAGGTGAAATTGCAGGCGGATTGACAACGGCCGGCAGGTACTTACTGAGTGTCACAGGCGAGCACCAACCTCACAGCGGCGCCGGTCGAAGCCAACTGCTGGCTGCGAGCTGCGAGTGAGCAACAGGAAGACCGGCCAGAAAGGGGCCCTGACTACGTCACGATCGCGCGCACCAAGCGATGAGGCGTGCGCTGCTGCATCTTGTGACTCACCAAAGGCTGTGTGGACCCACAGCCACCTCAAAGGTCCACTCATCTTGCGATGACACAATGAGCAAAAAGACTCAAAGGACACAATCGCACGCCTTCATGCCGAAACCACCCCCGACCTTCCTCCGCAGCACGCGCACATTCATTCACTCCTTCTCGCACGGACAACCCATATTTTTGTCTCGTTTTCCTCCAACAACCAGACGTTTTTATTATGTTCGCTAAATCGCAACTCCCTGAATTAAGTGCCGTAAAATTATACACGGAAAATCTGCAGACTATAGATTATTTCTCTGAAAAAAGATTTTTTTTTTTAATCTGGAAACATTTAAGAAATAATTTTCAATTTTTAGTGATTTATTGTTTAATAGTATTTAAAATATAATATAATAATTTATAAAAATTAAATAAGGAGCAATTTATTTACTGGCCAAAAGTTTATGTATGAATATTAACACTGGCAGCAGAAAAGAATTTGACAAATGGCAATATAAATTAATTTATGTTTTGTTGGTAATAAATTTAAACCATGCAAAAAAAATTACAAAATAAACAAAAAGACCTAAAAAAAATCTATATAATCTGCAGAATTGGAATTAGAGTACTTATTTATATCCCCTGTTATTAATTTAAGTGCTTTTCTCTCTCTTGGTCTAATTGGCCCTTTTCTGGCACCATTCTTACTTCTTTTATTTTATTGCAGTGGAATTGCATTAGTTGGTCAAATAAATGAAAGAGCAACAGGTCTCTCTTTCGAATTCGCGCTATGCGTCATAACCCAATTATTTTTATCCTCACTTTGTCGCCCACTTGTTTGTCGGCGTAAGGGCGGAATTGCCCCTCTTTCATGACGCAAAATCAATATTGCTATTGCGCACACTTTGCAATCTCTGCAGAGATCGTGAATTATTTATTCTGGCAAATATAAGCGACGATTAGATTACGCGATCAAAGAGAGAAGTTGAAATTAATCCGTGAAAAGGAACGGAATTAATTTGCTTTGGGTTTCGCGGCATGATTTGAGAAATTATATTATTTATAAGAAATGAACCGTTTTCTCGATTCTTTTGATCTGCAGTTGGACAATGCGAGTGTGCTGCAATCACGGGTGAATGAATTGCAAGTCACGCAACCCTAAAAGCATGTATGTATGTTTTCATTACGGTCGCCGTCCATTAGCAATTGTTTGAAAATCGGGACGGCGTCATTAGTCACGGATGCAGCCGACGGAGGCACCTGCGAAATAATTGCGTTTGAGGAAGAAAACAATAAAATTCCTCATAACACTCAATTATATCGAATGGATGGCGCCGCAGGGATGGCGGCCAAGGTTTTTCGGCTGCTGGGAAAATGGGGATTTAAGTGTTCGCCACGAGAGAAAAAAAGGGAAAGGGAACAAAGCGTGCGGTAGGTGTAGGCACTCACCATTTGGGTTGGGTTTTTAGGCTTCCTGTTGACTTTTGCGATTTTCCGGTTTGCTGTAAAAAAATGATAGTAATTAGTGAAATATTTCATACTATGTTACAACCAAAAAATATTTTGACAGAAAAGAAAAGGAATGAGAAGATTTGAAATTTATATCATAATATTTTAAAATTTTATTTTGAACCCACAGAAATTTTTTAGTATTCTTTCATTTCATTGAAATTTCCTCATTTAAGCATCAATATAAAAAAAACTTTACCTGCAAGCAATGATAAAAAATCTATTATTGCAATTTACCTTCAAAATTGTCCCGGAGAATTTTTTTTTTAATTAATTTAATAAATTTTTTTTATAAATTTTGAACTTCAACACTTACTGACGGCTTCAACAATATCACAGAGTAGTATGCCATCGCAAACGTCTGTTTGCAGGTCCTGGATGCGTCGTTTCGAGTGAACTTTTTCCAAATAGTGATTCGCCCAGTCAATGTAAATCTGGAACAAAGACAAAAACTCTCTCACATCTTGAGCCAAAAGAAAAACTCTCGTGACAAAAACAAACAAAATTATTCATATTTTTTCCGAGGAATTTTCAATCTCGTTTCGAGCGGTTCACCGCGCGTTATTATTATGTAAAAGAGGAGCATGACGCAAAACCATTGTCTTCAATGTCGGCCGCCGCGAGAGATGGAATAAATTACAATAACAATTTTTAGGCATTGGGCCAGCCCAGTTATGTTCTTTTTCTCCTCACGCGGGCACAGCCAGCAATGACAATGAGAACTTTCGTTACTTGCACTTTTCACAAATGGACGACCAACCCTACCGACCGCGTCTTAAGCTTGGCCTTCACTCAAAAAAGAACAAGAGGAAACGGCAAGCGACGTTTCAGTTAGTTGACAAACATGATTTTTTTTCGTCGGAGAGAAATTCTGAGAAAATTGAGCTACATTTCCTTGGGTTTGCAATTTTTCGCGTTATGTGCGTGCGCCAAAAAAGGCGAGGATTAAAAAGGAGATTTAGAGATAATTGACAAATTTCACGGGCGGAAAGAACAATAAAAAACATGCTTTATATGCTTTACTTTAAGATTTAAAATATTTAAATAATACAAAAATTTAACAAGCCGTCACAGATCTTAAAAATTATCTAAAAAAAAACTGCATTTTTAAATTGTAGTTTTCCAATACAGATTCAGTAACTTGAAATTTTTTAATTATTGAAGTCTAACAAATACAAAAATAAAAAATTATGAGCGTGTGTTTTGTTCCGGAAAATAATTATGCAATGAAAAAATTTATTTCTGTTGGTTCATTTTGATTCTTGGTGTCTATTCTCTCTAACTCTAGATAAGATATCAAATAAAATCAGTAAAAATTTGTTTCGATCTAATGACTAAAAATAATTTGTTCTCTAAATCTGAAGTTTTATTTACAAAAATAAAGTTTCCTCCGAGCTAACGAATTACAGATGGACACAGCATAGACACGTGTGGATGAGAATTGGATTATAAAAATTGACGGAAAAAACATCCTAATCATAAAAAGGCAATTTAGTCTTGTTCTAAATTTGAGATCATATATTATTATTAAGTATAATTCAAATTCAACTAATGAACGTCTAATGAAACTATTTTTTAAATTACTTCAGGAAACTCTGAAAGTTTTTCCATTGAAATAAATGATGAATAAAATAATTTCTGATATTCAAGAATCCATAAACTTTGGAAAAATCTAACTCTTGTTAAGTGTGATATGAGAAGATTTTGTCCTATTTTCTAATTCGGAGTGAACCCGACAGTATAAAATTTATGAAATAAAGCGTCAAAAATCTTACATTATACAACTTAAATTGAGTAAATTGTATGAAATATTATATCCAGGAGACTAATTTTACCATTCTTTTGACAGTAAAATTTTCTTCCATATAAATCACAACAAAATATAATATAAAAAAATCCCAGAGAGGAGAGTTTTTTTAACAATCCCATTTGTAAGTCTAGATGAATTTAAAATAAATGGGGAGATGATGACGGTGATTTGTTCAGTCACACCATTATCACGCCTCAATAATCATTCGAGAGAATTTTAATGTTCATCTTTTTCTTGTGAAAAGGCCGGATTCCGACAAAATCCACTTAGCGCGTGTGTTAATGTATCAAAGGAGTGGTGTGTGTTAATGGGGAAAGCCCCTTCTTAGCGAAGAGGCCATTCGCAGGCAGCAACTTTTTATCTTAAGAGTGAGGGCATCTTATTCGGACCGCCGGACGCGTCTGCCGTAAAACGGTCCGCAGTAAACAAACATGCAAGGGTTGATGGGGTCACCTGGATTATGTCCATCTGCCGCTCCCGCTCGTCCTGTTTGGGGGCCATGATGCACGCGGCCACGTCCAGCAGGGACATGTCTTTTTATTTGCACTGACTTTCTCCGGACACGGGCGACACAACAATAAATGCTGCTAAGCTGGTCTGGCGCGCGCCGACGACTGGGTGGGAATTAGGCAGTATTGTGCCGCAGCAAAGCACACACACGCCCAGCGTTAGTTAGTTAAAGGCGCTTAATACACATTTTTATTTATAAACATACATATTCTCCGTCCGAGGAGACGCTGGGTCGAACTCTGGATGGAAAGGGAGGAGCGTGCACTGCTCGTGTCTCACGCGTTAAAAATAAAAAGAGGCAGGCTGGAGCTAATTTTAGCTTGTTCTTGGGCAGGAAGTTTTGGAACGCTATGCGGAAAAAAGAAGTTTGTTGACCATCGGCGCGGCTTCAAAGCGAAGACTTTGAATAATTGGATCAGTGTGCGCCGCGCGAGTAAGCAGAACGTTTGTTTTTTTCTCTCACTCGGACGGCCGAGCCGTGAAAAGATCAATTAATTTTAATTGAATCACTCCGCTAACAATGATTTATTTGACTTTGATATACAAGTAGGTTGAAAAGAAGCATTGGCGCCGCCTACGATTCAACCTTGTAATCAAAATGAATAAGAAAAATTATTCTAACCTCTTGGCTTGAGAGTAGTGAACTTCAAAATCTGATTTTTTCTCTCATTATTAGTGAATTTTTAGTTGGACAGTAAAAATGTTAAAAATTTATCGCATTTAGAGCGATTCAAAAATATTTTCAGTTGAAGATTTCAAAGAGCCTGTAAAATATTACAATTTATGTAAAATAAAATCTGATTTAATAAATGCAAATAATTATAATATTTCCATCATTTAAAATGTTGGCGTTCAATTTCTCAAATATACAATTCATTATACTAAAAAGTAAACACCAATAACACAATGATTGCAAAAAAGTCACAAAAACACCACTTCGATCATAAATTTCTTTAAAAATATATCCATTCTTAACACTTCTCGCGTCTAGTTTAATTTTTTTTCTAACTGCAAATGTAAAATTGAAGCTTCAGGGTGTGATTTTGGAAGAGCATCTCGGCATCCACTATTGATAAGGAAAACAGTTTGACGCCTGTTTAACACTTTCGGATACACATTTATTTTTTCGTCGGCGCCGCGCAGATACGAAAAGTGGCTTTAATTGCCTTGAAGAGCCTTTCGTACGTGATTAAGCAGCGTCTTGAGAGGGAAAGGCACTTGAAAAAAATAAATGGGAGTGCGTGCTTTTTGTGCTGTGCAGTCTGATGAGGAGAAATTAACTGACAATAAGCACCCGACGAATAAAATTTTCTCATGACTCTATCACACAATTCGCATCTGATGCAAAATTTTAACGAAAACTGTTTTATTATGCGAGATTGAATTAAAATTATCTCAGGATTTTCTCCACTAATTGTAAGAGAAAACGAGAGTGTTATACAATTCAGAAAAAAATTAAATCTGCTCACCTCGATGGTTTCCTTGGCGGTGTATTTCTTCGTCTGCTGCGGTGATGCCATCGTGATATTATAGAGGGAAATTAGCTGCAATTTGCGCTCGTGACCAATTTAAGTGTGGAGCAAAACGCAGCAACAACAGCTGCCTTTCATCCTCATGGCTCTGCACAAGCCACTCTCTTGGAGAAAACTGCTGAAACAGAGAATTAAACTTTGTTCAATATCAAAAATTAAAAAGAAATTCAAATACAACCTTATTAAAGCTCCAAGCAATAAAAAAAAATTGGATGTCCCTTTTTAATTAATTTTAATTTAAAATATTTTATAAAATGCAGACACTAAAACTAAAAAGTTAGACAAAAATGTATTTTATTCAATTTGATACTTTTTATTTTAATTCTGTAGCGTTTCTGATATATCACTAAAAATAAAAATTAATTACAATTCATTCAATAAAAAAAAAAAAACAATTTTACAGAAAAATTATTAATTCTAATACAAAAATAATTTTCAATACAATGAGAATTAGTTTTGAATTTGAATTAATATTTTGTTTTCCAAAGACAATATCACTATAAATTTAAGAACTTTCCGCTAAAACCTCCAAAAATGCTAAAAACTGCGTATAAATATATAGCAAAAACAAACATTGACCTTTGCCTTTTCATTCACGATCTGCGAATATTTGGCCAAATTTTCGCAAAACACACGCCCGCGGCGCTCGGCCAATTAGCCCGTTCAACTGTGCGACGCGTAAATAATCGTCTTTCTGACACAAAACCGCGGCACCGTGGTGAAAAACGTTCCCAGAAGTGCAACAACGACCGAACCCGTCCAAGCGAAAACGACACATGCGGACACCACCTGGGCAAAGGTATGCAACCTGACGCAGGATGGGCGCGCAGGTTGCGTAAAAAGGAGGCGGTCAAGTAACGGCAACTCACCTGGGGCCGCCTGCTCGGCCAGAGTCACTTTTTCGGCTGGAAATCGGCCTCGTCTCCGCCCTTCATGCCGAATTCGGAATTCGCACGGACAGATTTTGACACTTTGACAGAGGGGAGGGCGTGGCGCACCGTGTTGTGGATGTGTGCAGGAATGGGCAGGTCGGGGGCGAGTTGAGTCAGAGCACCTCACCGAACGCAAACCGGAGTCACAGAATTTTTATCAAACTTTCACTTTATTTAACTTAAAATATCTTCACAAAATTACTTTATTTAAAAAATTTCAACCAAACAAATTCAAATAATTTAATCGCAAAATTTTGTAGATTATTTAGGTAGAGTTTAAATTTTAATTTTTTTGTCTTAACTCCCTCTCGAAACTCCACTTAATTTGATTCCGCATGTTGCTACACGAGTTGTACAGCATTGCCATAACTTATGCAACAAAACACAGGACGGGAGAGGAATAATGAATGAGGCTCCCCCCATCCATCATCTGTTTTGGTCGCATGTGTTTGTAGTGCGATTTGCCGGCAGTTCCGCTTTCTGTCATTCCTTGCGTTTGTTTGTTTTGCTATTTTAACTCATCGAACCGTCCGGCCGGCACGACAGGTATGCGCAGAACGGTGCAAAATTAAGGCGAATAATACCATAACAAGTTCTCTGATAGATTTCTCAGGATGGACGTTGAAGACGGTTCGGACGACGAGACCAAAGTCACGGACTTTGTGGCCAGTAGGAATGCTGCCGTTTTTTGCATCGATTCGTCCGAAAGGATGCTGGAGATTGACGATGATAGTGGAAAGTGCCCTCTTCAAATTTGTCTGGAGGTTTAAAATATGATTTAAAAAAAAAAAAAATTGGACTTTAACTTTAATTTTTACAGAGTGTGAAACGGAGGATGTTGAACAACATTTTCACCTCCGACAAGGAGTTTATTGGTATTGTATTAATGGGAGCAGTGAGCAAAGCAGGATCGTCCAACAATGCCAATAATGTGACCAGCAACAATTGCAGTATCTTTTTCGAGCTAAGTCGCTTCGGATCAGAAATATGCAGCACCCTTGCCAACCTGGCCAAAAAGACTGGTATTATTTTGTTTGTTAATAAATTATTTTTAAATCCTTGCAGATTTGCTGAATTTTTTTTTAATAATAATTCTATTTATTGAAAATATTTTTTTTATTACTGCAGTATAATTTAATCTTCAACTTTTGCAGGAGAGCAATTTAAAAAGGATTTTTGTGAGGAGTATGATGTCCAGCAAAGCAACTCGTTGTCCGATTCGCTATGGACTTGTTCTTCGATGATGTCCATGTCGTAAGTCAAATTGTTAATTAAAATAAGCCCTTTCTGTACATGGATTAATTCAGGAATACCAAATTTGGAGTGAAAGAGGTCTTCATCATGACCAACAGCAGCATGGAAAACATGGATCAGAATGTCCGTAGACAAACCCTGAAGAGGGTCGAAGCCTTGTCTCAGGTGGGAATCTGTCTCCGCCTTCTATATCTAGGCGCAAATTTTGACCTCCAACCATTTTACAAGGTAAAAATAAAAAAATTCGTTGACTTCATATTTAATAAATAATTTTTAAAGGATCTTTTGCTAAATGCCCACCCAGATAGCTCAGTTCAGGGCAATGAGCATTGGGCAGCTTCTGATCTTGTGGCTGATCCTCATGTTGTCTTGACCAGAGGTTGTAACAATCGCCAGTCTGGGAGACTAGATTTTTCCATCACACCAAAGACAAAAATTACTGTTAAAGCTTATTCGTTGTTCAGGTGTGGTTTGATTTTTTATATATATTTTTTATATTAATCCATGGCCTTATTTTGAACTATTTTAGGAGGATTGATCACATCAGCATGAGACAAGATGTGAAACTGCACAAGGAAACCAATGAGCAGCTTTCGGTGGCCTCTACTAGATATGACACCACCTCTGGTGAACTAGTCCATCCTGACAGCGTCGTATTCGGAATCAAGGTTGCCGAAGGGGCCTCGTACTTTAAAAAGGTTTTTGTTTAAAATTTTAAAACAAATCAGCTAAAAAATAAATTTAGGAGGAACGAGGTTCAATGAAAGAATTATACCCCATCGGAATAGCCCTGCTTGGATTCAAACCAATTTCGGAAGTTTTCTGGGGTGACCACATTAAATCCGGAATTCTTATCATCCCAGACGAGGAAGAACGCTCTGGTATGAATTTAAAGAAAAACAGTTTTTTTTATAAATTTTTATTATAAATCTCATTGTCAGGCAGTGCCAGTTTATTCTACGGCTTGCTTCAAGTGTGTGTCGAAAAGAACCTTTCCCCTCTGGTGCGAATCTGCATGCGAAAGGGCAGTGGTGCTCGGCTGGCCCACCTTCTGCCCCAGTTGGAAAACTCCTCTGTCGGCCCGTTTGCGGCAGTGAACTGCTTCTATCTCATCTACTTGCCCTTTTCGGGCGAGTGCAGAGAGTCTGAGGTTGCTGTCCATCCAATTGATGTGGATTTGAACCCAATGCAGAATATGGCCAAGACTATTATCCAAAAGACGACATTCAAGTACCACCCCAGCATGTTCCCTAATCCAAAAATGAGGATGCATTTTAACGCCATCGAGGCTCTTGCTCTCGACTACGATGACTCCGAAACTGTCATTGATGCTCTGCGTATGCAAATTTACTATTTAAAAATCGAATGAAATGATCACAATTTAATCTATTTCCAGAACCTGATGAAGAAGGTATTGATTCTAGAATTGGGGAAGTTGCTGACCAATTTATGAAGATGAGTGAGAAAGTTGCTTCTTTGATCCTGGGTGTTGATGACAATGAGCAAATGGAGTAGAAGCCCAATTAAGTTCCTTTTCATCTTACAATTAATTAAACGCAAAAATAATTTTGATTTCAGTTTCTCTTTATTCAATGATTCAGATCAGAACAAAGTGTTGGAAATAAGGCAGTCATTGTGCGTGAACATCCAGAAAATAATTTTCTTAATTTCCATATCAAGTATCCATTCCATGTTAAAATTGCCAAAGTTCTTTTAAAACACAAAGGCTTAAACATTGTTACCAGTTTAATTGTTATTAAAATAAGGTGCAACATTTAAAGGCTTGAGATGCGTAAAAGTTTGCAAAGTTTTCATTACAAGAGTATTTAGAATTAATAAAATATGGTCATTTGATTAAAAATGAGGCACGGAAAATTTCATTCCCAAAATCTTGCTCACAATTATTAAATTGGTTAACAATTCAGTAATTAATTAACTTTGTACAGAGAGGTTTTAAGTTTACCAATTTAAATTGCGAAGTATAAAAAGCATTTTTGGAGTCCCAAAGGACGGACAATATTGGTTCTGTCAAATTAGAAAATTTGTCATCTATTCACTTACAAACTACTAATTGTAGGTTCCCTACCACTGAACATTTAAAATGGTTAGCTATTTCATCTAATGTGAATCATACGTCAATACATCTAATTCAGCTATAGCAATATTTGAGTTTTTCAGAACTTTTGTTTTGATTGTGAGAGTATTTTAATGCACAGTTTTATTTTTGTGTTCGTCAGAAACATTGACCGGGACAGATAAGTACAAAAGGCCGCTGAAATACATAATCATCTTCTCAACCATTGATCAACAACAGAATTCAATTTAACCACTAAAATAACTTCAAAGAGATTAGGTTAAAAAACTAAATGCTTCAATTTGTACCAATGTATCGATATGGTTAATTAACAAATTGTAAAAAACAACCACTGAGCTAACAAAAAAGAAGTCAGTTTAAGTAAGCGCTGCTCGGTAAAATAATAAAATTGTGATCCTGCCATTTTTGACACTCAGTCACAGCCCAAGGAAAAAGGCTAAATCAAATTTTTAAATTAATAAACTACTAGTGTGAGGTAAAGATGCAACATCCATAAAAATAAGTGCCATTAACAAGCTACCTAAGCAAAATTAATTAAAACAATTTATAGTCTTCGTAGAGAGGTGCAGACTAGCAGACAAATCGGTGCTCATTAAAATCAATAAAAATCACTCCCTAAATTTTCCAGTTGAGTTAAACTTCATCCATGTGCTTGATTTTGATAGCTGAACTTGGGATGTAGCTTTTTTGCTCCGGTTCGTCTTGAGGGTGGCCCGTTAGCGGCTCCTCCTCCTTGGCTGCTCAAAATGAAATTTTAATTATAAAAATTATTAATTGTATTTTAATCAAAAGTGCTCACAGTAAGCTACGACTCCGCCTTGAGTGTAATTGACTCTGCATAAATTGTACATAGGGCAGTTGCTCGAAAAGCAGCAAACGAGGGTGAGGACGATCAGCAAAACACAAATCGAGATAACAACAATGCTCACAATCATGACGACCCTGAAAATAATTCAATACTTTTAGATTCAGAGTGCTCTCCTCCGAGTGAATGTGACTCACTGCTCGTCGAAATATTGGATGAAGGAACCGTGGGGACAACATCGAAGGGTTTGGTTGGAGGCGCAGCACTCGGTGTAGTAAAAGGGTTGGTCGTCCTGGGGGCAGGAAAGCCAATGGACTCCACTTTCGTCATCCTCAATGCCATTTGCGTAGAATCCATCACAGATTTTGCTTTCGACTAGGAAGAGAAAACAAAAATTTAATAAACAAGTCTAAAAACAAAAATTTTGAAACAAAATTGTTTACTTTTGCATCGAATTAAATTGTCCTGAAAATTTAATTCCGTGTGGTTGATAAATAAATCAATTGTTAATTATTAATGCAAATATTAACCTGATCTCAGGGCGAGTGCCGCCGTCAAGAAGGACAAGACCCTAGCGGACAGCATGTTTGTCGTTTCAGTTCAATGAACTTCCTCGGACAAAGTGCAAGACGATCTTCTTGCTTAAAATATCATCGCCGGTCTGCTTTTCGTTCGATTCAGTGAGAGGAAATTCCCCACGGTGTCGCAACAAAGTGCCGAAAGGTGTTCTTTTTTCCCCCCGTTCGATCTATTTTTCTCTTTTTTTCTGGCGGAAAAATAGCTCGCCACCAAACACTGCAGGGTGTGCCCTCGACGACGGCCGCTCTGCACGCTGCTGCCTCTAGCGGCGGTCTCGCCAAACCGCAGTGACGCGGGACGAAAATTGAATTAATTTGCACGTGAGCAAAGCACGTGCTCATCAATAGTCAATATATAAATGTACATGTAGGAAAACACGTGCTCGATAGCGCGTTATTATATATCAATTCTCCCAGGTTGGATCCCAATTTAAATTACTTGCGTAATCGCTGATTTGTTTGTTAATGCAAAAGGTAAACAAAAAGTTGCGTCGTAGTAGCCTGATTTCATTTTCCAAAAACTCGAGGTGACCTCATTTACTCCTTTGTTAGCCCGCAAATGTGCTATCACAGAAATAAAATTAAGTTAAGAACGCTTTGAGAGGCTAAATAATAAAATTATATAAGAGGAAGTGGTTCCCGCTCAAAAATAGTTTGTTGGACTAATTGTAAGAAAAAATATGGAAAAATATTAATTTTTTAAAATTAAATTTAAATGTATTCTCATATTTTTTTAATTAATTTAAATGTTTGGGCTCACGTGAAATGTCAATAAATTTATAAATTTCAATGATTGATGGGTTCAATAACCAATTCATAGCATTAGATTTATCCACAGTATGTTGCCTTAAATTTTTAAATATTCGGAACAATCTTATTCATATTTTTTTTAAAATCGTATAATAATATTATATTTAACTAGTATGGCCGATTTAATTTCAAAAATTTCATTACTATGCGTTATTTTAAAATCTAGTTTTTTTTTTCATTTTGTAGAATTTATTATCCACCATCAAGGGTGGTTCCATGTTTTAGGTTTTTGTGAGATTTATTCTTATAAAATAGTAAACAAATCACCAAACCTATCGAGGAACTGACGTTTTTCAATAAAAAAAACATATAATTTTTTAACCATAAATCACTTAAATTTAAGAAGAAGAAAATAGTCAAACTAATATTTAAGCTAGAATGAAAATTTTAGTAAATCTACACGAAATTAAGGTTTGAAACAACACCAAAGCTTATATATGTTTAAATTCAACATTTAATTTCAAAGTAACAAAACATCTTCTTTGTTTTGGCATTTCATTGCTGCGTATTGAGCTGATAAAAAAGTCCAATTCATATGAAGAGGACTTTGGAACGCGTCGCGCCTTCACCAACCTCCGAGAAATCTGAACCTAATCAAGTTTGAACAGTTAATGACGATTTCCAAGAGAAATTCGCAACTCATTTCAAAATAAAGATACGCCGACACAAAGTCCTCAAAGTTATCAAAAATTTTATCACCCACCCAAGGAGAAATTTGGAGGAGGTCTTGAGCAAAAAAATCGAAGACACATGCACTTATAGAAATTGCGCGCTAACCCAATTACGTAACTGGAGCAGCGCACACACCTCCAAAAGGTAAATGAAGGTAATGCAGATAACAAGAATGCGGAGAATTTTGGTTTCTTTTTATCAACGGGCCGTTTAACGGTATGTTCCGAGAAAGAAGTGTTGATAAATTTGCGCAACTGGGCCGCTGCTGAAGGATGGGTGCGCTTTAAATTGTAAAGCATATTTCTTTTTTTTTCGCAAAGTGGAACGTTCGCGGCACGCCGTGGGTACACATTTTAACTTCCACTCTCACCGTGCGTTATGTATATATTACGGTTTGTTTGGTTTGGTGATGTTGGGGATTTTCCTCATAGTGAGCGCGTGACGTCAATTCCACACAGCACTCCTGATAATGCATCGCGATAACAAAGTAAAACTTGCAGTCCTGGCGCCACACAACGTTTTTTGTCGCTATCTCCGCGTCATTGCGGCCTCCTCTCGCATTCTTCTCTTTTGCAATCGAAGCGTGCAAAGAAAGAAAATCTTCTCTTTTTTGAGAGATTTTCAACGTCATTTGAATGCAAGCAATAAAAAATCAACAGCAAGGTTGTGTGCGGATTCCCAGCCGTCACACGGTTGCAACGCTGCTGCGTTCAAACAAAAAAATGGAAGGTCTGACTTGCGTCAATTGGCAAAAAAATCTTTGCCGAGGAAGGCGCGTAATCAGCATAATCACAGTGAATTTCAGCGTGTATTAGGTTGTGCGCAGCAACAATTCTGCATGGCCTTTTTGTGCACACTCACAGCTTATTAACGTAAAAGTCGCGTACTTGGCAAATCCGCCTCAACGTCATCAACATTTGGAATTTAAAGGCAGTTAATTTTCAAATTTTGTGCATTTTATTTTCTTGTTGAAAAATTTAGCACAGAGGATACAGACATCTTTAAATCATTGCATGTGTCAATAATAATTTCTCATTTTAAAAAACGTGTTGATTTATGAAAGAAAGAAAAAATAACTCTTTATTTTTTTACATATATTTTTTTTTATCAACCGGACTTTCCTTGTTGGAAATGTTTTTATATTATTCAAAAAACACGGCTAGCTTTGAATTTGTAGTTTCTTGTATAGGTGCATTTTATTGAGAGGGAAAATATTGTTTAATTCAAATTTAATTCCTTTCATTATAATTTATATTATTTCTGTTTATATAATATTCAAATATAAAGAGCCAACGTAAATAAGCGTATGGTCATTTTTTCTTTTTAGATAACAGCGTTAAATAATTTATAAAATCGTTTGTTGCTCAAATTTTTAATAACTCGGATATTCACCATGAATATTTTTTATAGTGTAGGAAATGAAGAATAATTCAGGTGCTCGTGGCTGATTGTGAAATTTAAATTAATTCTTTTATTTCATATCAGAGTTTTGAGTAAGTTTTGATAAGATAAATGATTAAAAGTATTATAATTTACTTTTTCTAAACAAAAATATCAACTTTTTGGCCATTCCAAGATTAATATCTTATCTTGCAGGTTCAGGACAGGTTAAAATTACAAATTTTATCCGTTCTTCTTTTCGTATATACATATAATTTCCAGTAAATCCAATAATTTTGTCTTTTTATAAAAACAATATACAAAATTGGACTATAAAAACTTAAATTATAATTTGAATTGGAATGCCAAGGATATAAACTATGAAAATAGTTTGCTTAAAAAAATAATATTTCATTGTCAGTGGCGTTTTTGGTGTCTAAAGAATTTTTATTCCACGAGGCAGTTGTGACTTTAAGATTTACTAAACAAATTATTTATGTTTTGAGGTCGTGCGCCCAATTCAGGTATTTGCACATTTGAAAATTTCACTACTTTCAGATCTCAAATTCATTTTTGCAATGCAAAATTTAACTTTCAAAGTACTTTTTATTGAAAAATAGAAAGTCGTAACAACCTTGCTGAAGGTGTAATAAAATTCTGGACGCATAAGCAGGTTGGAATTTTCCTTTGCTGCGTGTTGCTACTTGTTACAAAATTAATTATTCAATCGTGACGGCCGGATAAAAAATTATTACACTTGCGATTTATAAATAATGCCATCCATATCTCTCTATCCAAAAGGGGAGCACGTGCAGTTCATCAGTTTATTTATGCCAAAACTTTGCACCGAACTGCGTCTTAAAAAAATTAAGCAAGCTGCCTCGTCAAATACCAACAAGGAAACTGTACAAACCGTCCTGATTCGCAAACAGAAGCAGCCCGTACTTTCAAAAACAAAAATATTTTTATTTGTTTTGAATCAGCGTCGCTTTGGAGAAATGACTCAAGAGAGCTGCTGACTGGAAATTAAAATATTGTCATCGTGCTGGCATGTGCTCGTTGCCCGGTATTATTATTATGGTCATGTGATAAGGCTCGTGATCGAATTTATCAGAGGAGAGGCATGTCCCTCCCGTCACCAAAGTGTCAACAAAGCAGCGACCGAGCGTGCCTTTGCCCGCGATTACGCAAACCAAAGTATGCGCGTTTTCTCTGGAAATTTTTTATATAAATATTTTGGACTTTCCCAACCACAAGAGTGTAAACAAAAATCATGCTTTTTGCGTTTCAATTAAATGTGGCAGTGAACACGAAATAAAAACATGTTATGTAATTTTGTACAGAGCTCATTGTTCCAGAAACTTATTTATAGGAGCAAAATCAAATAAAATAGTGTTTGTTGCTTAGGACAATTTTTAAAATAAGCTCTGATAAAGCAAATTGATGTCAAACAATTCTGTTTCTGAATATTTAAAACAATCATAAAGGTAATTGAAGATTCCTTTTGCATAAAAATTATTTTAAGAAATTTATTTCCATCAATTAAGCGAAAGAGAAATTGTTCCAAAGTTTAAATTAAAGAACAATTAGCAAGCAATTGAACCAATTTAAGTGGAACAAGATTGTTAAAATTTCTACGAAAATAACTTTTCTCGCTTATTAAATTGTAAAAGAAACCATGGTAAGTCCTTTTTATTGAAAAAATGAAACTTCCTCGAAAAAAAGCCAAAATAGGAATATGAGCATGCTTTACAAATTTTTTTCAGATCAGACTTCCTCTTCAGTAACCAGAAAATCAATTATATATTCATCAGAGATACGAAAATTTCAAAGCTGCTTTATTTCCATTTGAGGAATAAGGAAACTTGATAAAGCAATCAATTAATGCTTGATAAAATAAAATGGAAAGCAAACAACAAATTAAAGGCCCACGCGCCGCAAGCGGCTATAACAATTCAATTAATAAATCTGTTTTTGGCGGAAACCAGTATATTAAAAACAAGAGGAAAAAATGTATCAAAGTTCCAAGAATGATACCTAAACAAATAATTTTATTATCGCACAAGGAAAAAGAATAAAGTATCGAGGGCCAGACATCATAGTACGTCAATTCTGGTGAGCCGCAGCGTGGCCGCAGGAAAGAAATAATAAAATTACATCCGCGCGAGATAAGAAGGGCAAAAAGAAGACTGGCGATAAATAAAATATAAAACAAAATCCCGCCGCAGCCCCGACAGGACTTGGGATAGCGGCGGAGGCAGGAAAAACCCCGGGTTTTCCTGCTCCTTCCCCTCCCGGCGTTTTCGTCCGTGTTTGGGTGTGTGTGTGAATCTGTTTGCCTTGGCCGAGGATGGAGAGGGGAGGGGGCCAGACGGCCGCCGGAGCGGATGCAGCAGGCACTGAATCAGAGCAAAGCGCGCGCACTCCCCTCCTCCCGCCGCGACCTCCCCTCTCCCGCCACTCGTCCCGCCGCCGCCGCCGCGCTGTTACTACGAGCCGCCATCGCCATAACACCCGCCCTTACTATAGTTCATCATCCTACATTCACGGACGCGGCGAGGGGAATTTGCCGTCAAGCCAAGTCGATTGAGCGGCAGCGGCGGCAGTCGTGTAGGTTGAGTGGCGCGAGACGGACGTGTGTGTACCTTTCGCTCGCTCCGCCCTTCAAATCCTCAACACATCCAAGCAACCTTGCTTGCAGTCAGTTCACGTGTCCAGTGTTGGCCCCAGTGCCGCTCCAGCTGCATCATGGCTTACCAGGATCACTTCGACAGGCTCTACCGCGTCGGCCCCTGCCTCGGCAAGGGTGGTTTCGGCGTCGTCTACGCCGGCATTCGCAACAGAGACGGCCTGCCCGTCGCGATCAAGCACATCGCCAAACAGAAAATCTCAGACATGGTCTTGGTGAGTAAAAAAAAATCAAAATAAATAAATTTTTATAATAAAAGGAAACATAAATTTTATTATCAAAAATAATTTAAAATATTTTGTCATTTCTGACCACATGGTCTGAACACGCCTAATTATGTAACTAGGACGTGGCTTATTAGGTTGGACTTATTATGTAATTTTATTTCGTAATTGAATTTAATAATAAATTTTCTTGTTTTTGTTTGATTTCAGATGGGACACCAGCGTGTACCCATGGAGGTGTGTCTGCTGTCCAAGGTGTCGCACATCCCGGGCGTGATCCGTCTGCTCGACTACTTTGAGCGCCCGGACAGCGTCATCATTGTGATGGAGCGCCCCGAAAGCGTCAAGGACCTGTTCGACTACATCACCGAGAAGGTCATCCTGAACGAGTACCTTGCGCGTGACTTCTTCCGCCAGATTATCCACATGATCATCCAGTGTCACAAGGCTGGCGTCATCCATCGCGACATCAAGGACGAGAACATTTTGGTCGACCTCAAGACCAACACGCTCAAGCTGATCGATTTCGGATCAGGCGCCGTTCTCAGAGACACCGTCTATACCGATTTTGATGGTGAGTTTTGAATTAATTTTTTCCTAAAATAATTTATATATTGAAAAAAAAAATTTAAAAAAATATATTTTCGAGTTTTTTAACTTAAAATTTCTTTCGAGGCGCGTTATTTGTTTTTATTACTTTTTTTCGCGTGACACACAAACGGCCTAGTAACTGCTCGCAATCACCTTTCTTTCTCCGTTGGCGGTGGTGGGGCCGCCTGCATTCCAGGCTGGCGCCTCGCCGCTCAAGGCTCTCTCGTTTCGCACCCGGACTAACCTGGTTTTTTCTCTCTTTGTGTTCTCAGGTACGAGGGTGTACGCACCCCCCGAGTGGATCCGCGCCGGAAAGTACTACGGCCGCAGCGCCACCGTCTGGTCCCTGGGCATCCTGCTGTACGCCATGGTGTGCGGCGACGTGCCCTTCGAGCTGGACGAGGAGATCCTCAGGGCGCACATCACCTTCAAGACGCGGCTCACGGAGAGCACCAAGACGAGACTGAGCGCCGAGTGCCAGGACCTGATCCGGCAATGCCTCAAAATCCGCCCTTCGGATCGGCCCAAGCTCGAGGAGCTGCTCATGCACCCGTGGTTCGCGTGTTATTTACCCCAGCAAGCCGAAGACCAGCAACTACCCGAAGCGACGGCGACCAAGACGGCGCCCGAGGAGGTCAAGTACGGACCTCTGCCGCCGCTCAGCGTCGCCCTCGGACTCCAGGCCAGGCCTTGACCTCACGGAGTTTAGACACGGACAATTGTTTTGCGTTTTTCGTTCTGCGTTCTGCGCGTTTACGGCTGTGCTAGTTTTGTAATATACCAGAGAGACAAGTCGAGAGAAGATGTGAAGTTGAGAGTCGGGTGACCCCGCGGCGCCCTGGTGAACTTTCTTTCTTTCCATGCATCCACCGCCTCCTTCGCTTCTCTCGTCGTTTGTTTGATTTTAAGACTGTGATCGACCGGCAGGGCTGCAACTTCCGGCCCTCGGCGTTCGGCGACGGCCCTTTGTGTCTGTGGAGCGAGAGGGCCGTCGCCGCCCTTTAATTTATTATTGTGTGACGATGAAGAAAAGATGATTTATTTATGTGCATACGAAGCTGATGCCATATTGACTGACAATTTTTGCGCTAGGCAAAATGTGTTCTCTGAGTTCCTTCCTCTTAATTTATTTGAGAAAAAATGGTATACATTGAAAAAATTCACACATACATACACTCTATAATTGATTACATACGAAGTGCGCAATAACTCACTTACATGCATACACGTAACGTAATTATATAACATCGTACATTTTTATATTAAAAGCAAAAAATCGTACTGTCTTTTCGTTTCTCGTCCTTGTATTTAAATAATATAACACGAAGCGGCGGGTCGGCGCACCTGAGTGCAGGTGCAAGCGACCGACCCGCCTTCGCGCATACTATCACTCATTACTTCACATCAAGAGTATTTAATTTATGTGTACATTGTGGATAATATAGTGCGATTTGGTGTAAATTATTCTAATAATGTAAGACAGGTGCGAGCACATCAAGATTTGACTGTATTTTTTATACAAAAAAAATCGTGTTAATAATGTACTGTGACGGAGAGAGAAGAAAATCAATTCTGCTGTAGATCCCGCGCCACGTGTGTGCGGGTGTCTCTTAAATGATACCAATAAATGTCAACAACATTTATGCAAAAAGTATTCAAGCATCTTTCAATTAATTCGCCAAACATCCTTGAAAAGTAATAATAACAAGCAAAAACGCTAAGGTCTCTTGCAAGGAGGGGGGAAGCACCTGGCAATGGCCGACCTTCCTCTCCCCTGATTTTTGCACACCTCATCTCAAGGTGAACCGCGCGCGAGGCGACTGCCCCATACAATCGCAAAGCAATGAACTCCTCTTTCTTACATACCTCGCAGGCGCCAAAAGGAATTCCTGCCAAGTCGCCGCCGCCGTCTTTTTTTCCCTTTGTTGTTGCGGCATGGCCTTGTTTCGTTCCTCCCCCAACCTACTTTCGGGGGTTTTTCTCAGAAAAACAACCACCCTTCGGCGTCCGGGCAACTGTACAACACAAAAGGCCAAGAGAAATTTCGCCTCCCTCTGCCTGGCAACAAGCGGCTCAACCCTCAGGTTGTCTCGAAATAAAATTTGTAAAATTTAAGAAAAAAAAATTCGCTCCACGATATTTCAGCGAACGGCCTCGAAAAGCGAGCGTCGCCGCCGGCCAATGACTTTTCCAGCTCAGCGAGTGCAGCGAGTCGTTACCGCGGCCGACGGTGCATCAATTTTTATTATTTCAAGTTGATTTTCGTCAGGGAATTTTTCGAACCTGCCGAGTGAGACGGGCGCAGGAGGAGAGGAAGGCAGGCCTGGGTAATTAACGAGCGATTTTCGCTTTAATTGGGGATCAAATGTAACATACATGCCATTCAACGGTGCTAGAGTTTATATCGCGGTGGGAGGTTTTCGCCGCTGCCTTTTTCTTTCCTGGAACCAAACGCCACAGAAATCATTTTCACGCACCAAAAACAATTTAATTGGTCACAATTATTTGTTGTCAGTCTAAAAATAACGCGTTTCTACAAACCCAAGAGGTGGAAACGAACTAATTTCATACCTTTTTTAACACACGGGCGCCCTAGAAAAGCGTCCGTTTAGAATTTGCAATTCCACGATGGACGAAAATAGTTCTTTTAAAATTCACTTTTATTTCATCGAACGGAAGTCTCAAATCGTTAATTTTTTTTAAAAGCTTCCTTATAAACAACAATTTCTTGTTTTTAATTAAATATGAGCGCACACCGGTTCAAGTCAGGAAATAACCTCTCTTTTAATTTCACCTTCCGGCCCTTGCACACATATATGTGGGCCAGCCTGCGCGGTATTCAAATAAGCCGAGAGAGAGTTAAATAACACCCAAGGTCGGCGCATTCCTTCCGAGTCATTTTCCAATTTTCCAATCAGCGAGCAAAAAACTAATAGTTCCGAGACAAAGCAGGCTATCTTTGATCGGATGATAATAAAGAGGGCAGCGAAAAGGTGGGATTAGAAAAATGACTCAATTAGGCGGCGATTTGGTGTGTGTTGTTGCCTGGCGAGTTTATACACCTCTCTCTCGGCTGCAGCAGTCTAGGAGGCGGTCATTGAATTATGAGAGCCGACCTTACAGACGCAGCTTCCCTGGAATGCCTTTCATCTCGCCTCCTTGGCTCTCCTCCGCGGCTGGGATGCCTTCGTTGTTTCCATCAAAGGAGAAGGAAGGTTGTCGTTGGCGCGCTTTCCTTGGCTCGGCCGCGGCCTCCCTCCTTTTTTTAACCGCCGTGGAGGAGAGTGCTATGCACGGAACACTACCCTGCCCGCTTGCACGCCATCCAAGGAAGGTCTGCCTGAAGCGTCTGAAGGCCACACGTGGCCGAAAACGGCGGGAAACGACGCGCACTGCTCCGAGAGGCAATGCCCGATGGCCCTTCGAGCGAATATTATTGTTGTGTGTCTATTTTTTTCCCGCATATTCGCGTTAAAGCACCGTGCGTGTTTCTTGGCCACGCCAAATATAAATTTAAATAATGCGCGAGTCTGGTTATTATATAGACTCCTCAAGTGGGATCGCATAGCTCAGGAAATTGGTTCAATCAACGTGACTCGGGGACTGGAACATGCAAAAATTTATCTGGCTCAATGGAGCCTTTAATTAACACCGAGATAATAAAATACAAATTCCTTCAAATATAAAAAATAAAAGTAAAAGGTATAAAATAAATTATTAAAATTTAATAAAATTAAAAAGAATTTAATTTCAAAGCGTTGCGCGGGTTGCGTATTACACATTATGAGCAATTTGTGGACTAGAATTAATCAAGTGTTCAATTAATTGACTTTGATATTACAATTATCTATAAAAGTTAACCGTATTAGTTTCAAATCTATCTAAAAAATAAAATAAAATCTATTAAAATTTTAAAAATGTTCCCAGCAAACTGATTTTTATTCCAATCGAATATTAATTAAATCCGCACGTGTGCATTTGACGAACAAAATGACACGTGTGAAGAAAAGAGTTTACGCGGTTAAGGACCTGACCTTGGAGGCCTCCAAGCTTGGAAAAGTATTGTTATCTCTAACTTTGATATGGTCACGCAATTAGAGAGAAAAAACACAAGCTATCTAAAGCGTATCCCAAAGGAAAAATTAAGATTGTAACAATAAGGAGCAAATAAAAAAATGTAAAAATTGGTTAAAAAGTAAAATTAAAGCAAGAAAATATTTAAAATGTAATTAAATCAAATTAGTTCTGACTCCAAAGCGATAGCACATTAAAATGAAAAGCAAACTGGAATTCAGGTACTTAAAAGCAAAAATTTAAAGAAGCCTGGAAAAATAAAAATATTTCTCATTTTTCAATACTTATTCTAGAACAAATCATTTCAAGCCCAAAATTTTAAATCATTTTGAACTATTTAGGTCTTAGATAAAGTATTATTATTTATTTTTTTAAAAAAAGCAGCGTAAAAAGGGCAGAATTTTTTTATTCAAATCTCTAAAATTTGCTCATTTTTCACAACAAAGATGAATTTTTTCGCACTGATTTTATGAATAAAACTGCGAATAAAATTTTTGCAATATGTCGTTCAAAATCAAAACACGGCGGAAGGTTGCAATGGAAAGTGCAGCACCGGAAACGCACGTAGCACCGGCGAGGGTCCCTGAAATTTTGTCGCCCAGGCAGAGGCATGCATGCAAACTGGAAAAACGTCAACCGGACACAGGAAACTGCTGTGATGGAATTTTTAGCAAACGCGACACACGTCGCATACTAATTTCCACCAATCTCGTCAAAGCCAAATTTGTCGCCAAAACACTTGGACTTTTGCTGGTGTACGCGAGGCCAGGCACGCACGCCACTCGTCCGCACCTGCGAACGAAATTTCAGGTCGAAACTCAAATCGGTCGAATTTTTATTAATTTTTTAGTGCATTTTTGGGCGACCACGTGGCGTCCGGGTTTTGTGTTGCCATGCCGGAGAGAAAAGAAACGCGGGGCGCTGCAGCGACAATGCGTCGATCCTGCTGCATTTGAGATGCCGAGAAAGATGCAGTCTGGGTGCGGCGAGGAGAAGAAGGAGCGAGGGATGCAACCGGAGAGAAGAAAAAAAATACGGCGCTTCCCGCCTTTTCTGCCCGTGAGAAGAGAACACCCAACTCGAAATAATTTAACAAAGGAGCGGGAGGAACAAAATGAAACGGTGGGACGGATTGTTTCCATGTGGCCGTGGAAAAAACATGAGGCCCCTTTTGCACCTGCCCGTGTGCGCGAGCGGCTGAATGAAAAATATATCATAGAGTGCGTTCCCATCCCTCGCTCAGGTTCCCAGCCATCCGTGTATCCATCGGGGGTGGTTTTATTCATGAAATTATGTTATTTTTGCTGCGCATTATTGTCAACGGACGATGAGCGGCAGGTATAGGGTTATTCTTCCTGGCGAGTTTCAAGGCCAAAAGTTGAAGGAACGAGACGCGGGAAGGAAGTAGCAGCTGAAATTAAATTCGCCGACTGCGAGGCGTTCATGCTCATAAATAACGAAGCGTGGAAATAAAGTGTCAGTCAAAAACACTGAAATAAATAATTGAATTTTGCATTTTAAACTCGTCCAATCTGAATTCCTTTTCAATTGTTTCCGTTGGGAACGTTATACCGTTGAGATAGTTTTCAATCGTTTCTCGTTTATAATGTGACAAAAAGTCTGGAAATTAATATATTATACTTCCTCAACTGTATACAAAAACTTTACATTTGTTATTTGTTTACTTTCCTTCTTTAAAGAGGATATTATTTAGGATTTTGATATGAAAAGAGGAAAACAAAATTATTGCCGAATTTTTATTAATTATCTCAATTCTCTCAAAAACATGATAATTTTTTCAGGAATTTTATTCTTTCAATTAAAAATTAAAAAAAAAACTAAAGGCAACAGCAAAACAGTTTCTGAAAATTTAAATTAAATTTTCAGAGAATTGTGTATTATAATTAAAAGTTGTTGCAAGTTGCAACCTTTTAAATAAAAATTGTTTTCAAAACATCGTGTTTTCTCTTGCTCTATTCACCGGAAATCTTTTTAAATTTCTCATTAAGGATTTTCCCAGTTTAAAAATTGTTGCTGTTTTTATTTCTTCCTGACGGATATAATTGAATTCGGAGATAAAATTCGATTCAGAATTCAACGGGAAGGGGCAGAAAATTGTTACTGCCCGTGTCAAATTTGGATGATGGGGTGAAGAATGAGACATTGCGGGTCGCAGCTTGGAAATCACGGGTGAAACCGCATTACCAACGCCAATAACAATGAGCCAGGCGCTTTACGACGCGGAAAATGAAACTTCATCCTCGTTGACGACGCTTTTACTCGCGTCAAAATCCTCAATTTCGGTCACGTGGCTGGAATAAAAAAATAATAAAAAAAACCCACCCTTCGGAATGCCACCCTCTCTCAAAATATTTTGCCGAGAAAAGCAAAGTCGTAAAATTTGTCGACCTATTTTATACGCCTTACATGGGGTTATCATCGGGAATTAAATTTCGACTGGCTGACTGAGTTGTTGTTGCACGTGGCTGGCGGGCCAGCCAGCACCCCGGCCGTGCGAGGCCGTGAGAGAAGAAATAAAAATCCCATAACACGCGGCGTGAGTGCAGCACGGAGTGTGTA